TAATTGTTCCCGTCAATTCCAAGTCACGCATCCAATTTGAGGCGCTACGCATCGTCTGCAGTCGACTACATAAAGCACTTTACGTTGGTTGTAGCGTAGCTTAGATTGTCTTTGTGCCTAATTTTTCTGCAATCTTTTATTTTTTTTATTTCTAGCAATTCTTTTAATTCTATGCGGTTTTTGTTTAATTACTTTTTTTACACGTATGCGTATGCTGGTCTGCAGAATTCTGGTTAATCAGCTTGTGGTAAAATTATGTTTTAATTTGTTTCAATCTTGCCTCGAGCCACTTCTTTCAATACAAATATGTTATCTTCTATAAAATGTGAGCTGTTTTAATTATTATGCGAGGTTATTAATTGATATCGTATTTAAATAATCACTTACTTATCTCGTGTGTGGATATATTTATTATTATTTTTTATTAGATTGCTTGTAAGCAATTAAACTTGATAAATTCGAAAACGACGCCTGCAACTTCGAATAGAAAATGAGAGAATTTGCATTGTCATTTCATTGTAGCAGCAGATCACGACGCCAGGTACGGTTTTTTCCCTTCAGTCGCAAGATTAATCGGGAGAACATATTTAATGATCACTTTATTTAAACGGAATTTTTTTGCTTTTATTTTAACATATTCCAATTATTGTTATAACTTAAAAAAAAATCTAAGATTTAATCTAGATCTAAGATTTAATGTAAATTACGAATGAAATTAACTACAATTTCTGCTCTTTCTCTATCAATTTCTAACGTAATAGGCACCATTGTATAAAGCCCGTCTGACAAAGCGCCAAGAATACCGCGTTAGGCAAATGAGGTCGGATTTACTTTGTCTGCAATGGCAAATCATCCAAGTTTTCCATTGCTGAAGCTTTTGAACACCTAAAGTTGTGCTGCACACACACTCTAGAGCAGCTATATGTAGCTGCTTTTTTTGGTCTGATGCAACGGCCAGAGCAGTGTGTGGAGACAAAGCTTTAGAGGTTGATCAGTTTATCTTGGGTTGTTCAAGAGTATTTTTGGTCGTCTGTATTAACAGCATGGTAAATAAATTATTGGATGACAATATTGAGGACTAGGGGTTTGTTTGCATGTACATGTAGTTCATCAGTGTTAACCCAGATTTAGAACAATGCGCAAGGAATGTAACGACTACTTATATATTGCTAGTGTATCAAATATTTTCGTTTTGATTCTGGGTGCGCACTACATGCATGATGCTTGCTTGACAAGCAAAAGGCTGATACACTCTCATTGTAGCATGCCTATTTTTATTGCGGTGATAGTATTCGTAAAAAAATAACATGCATGCGTTATTAAGCGCTTCGAATCTTTCTTTTTAGGGAATCAGCGAGTTAAAGGCCTAAGGGACAAAGTGATTAGATAAGAATCGTTAACAAGGCTACTTAAGACCATGAACAATTTCATGAATTTATTCAGTTGTTAAACGATAAATGTAAGCATTCAAAGATTATGAAAAGCTTCAAAAGCATGTGCTTAAAATGATCGACCATGTGAAATGCCACCAGTCGCAAACAAGTACGGCAAGTAGAAAGTGCGTACTGTTGAGACACAAAAATTCAGTCAGGCGATATTTGGACAGTTTTATTCTGACTTTAAGCGTAGAATTGACGATATCTGAAATCTTCAAACGTGGTTGAAGTGGTTCTAAGAGGCAAAATTGCCCTATAATTTACGTCACTCTAAAATTATTGAAGCATAAGCAGGCCTCAAAGATGGGAGTAAGATTTCACAAATTAATTTCGAAAAAATTTAATAGAACTTGTAGCCTTTTTGAACAACCATTAAAAACAGACGAAATCAATGCGTTGGTAAATTTCAACAAGCAGATCCAAGCTTTGGCAGTTTTCTTGAAAGCCAGATAGGTGATGGAGATATAATCCGAGTCTGAGGAAATTGCACAAGTGTTAAGTTGTTTAGCGCATTCCTTTATAAAATAATCATAGACTAATTAAAGACCCTCGCATGGTTCCATTAGCAAGACAAGACCATCGGGGCTCTCAATGATGCCAATCTAACCCATAAGGCAAGACAGACAATACAAAACGTTGAAATATGAGGGTCAATCAAACAGCCAGACACGCCTTTTTACATAAAAACCACCGTATCGCTAAATATGATTAACACCTTGCAAAATTGCAACTTGTTTTTAATATACTAGCCATAATTGCCGTCTATTCCAGACACGATTTTTAAAATAATTCCAACTCAGTGTGCGCACATCTTTGACTGCGCACATCTTCGTTAATAATTATATAACAAACTCCTTAAATTCCGTTATTATAAGGTAAATTAAAATTGTTACGAACGCAAAAGGTTATCTGAGAGAGTTAATGCGACCGTTTACTTACATAATAATTTTATTATTTCTCGTTAATTATTCATTTTCAAAGAAAATTGAGTATCACATTGCTTCGGGCAAAATTAACGCAGGTTATGGGTAAATAACGAAAAATTATTAAGTTAAAAGGTAAAATTAAAAAAACCAAGATGAATCCAGTTTTTAAGCTTTTCTATTACACGACTGAGAAAAAAACATTAATTTAATGTTGCGTTTTAAAAATCAGTTCCAATTACATGTAAGGGTTTGCATTTTTCTAATAACATGAGGCCCTTGTTTGTGACTTTTATTCACTCCATATATTTCCATCACTTTAAGTTGGCTAAGATCAATCATAAATGGAAGTCCACATGTTCTCAAACTAAAGTTGGGGTTTAGTTCAAAGTGGATCTTTTAATAGATCTCTGTTATCTGCTGTCTGTTATTTTCTAAGGTAACCAATATTTTGCTGCGGGATGTAAGGCCACCCCTTAAATTTTTGGGTTATTTGAAAAACTCCCTTATTCACGCTCAAATAGGATTATTATCCCAGGACTAGCAGGATTTACCTGCATTTTCATAATAAAAAGAGAATTAAAAAATTGGTGGCTTAGAAACATTCTTTGTTCAGAAGAGGCAAAAATGGGCTTAAACACAAAATTGATTTATTTCTGCAGAAGTAAATGCGGGCTTATTAAAGTGTGCAGGCAGATTTTGCTTCGATTTGATTGGTTGGTTTTTCTGCCGTATGTGATTATGCGGCCTTTTTTATTTTTGCCATAGATTACTGATGTCCTTTTAAAGATTCAATAACGAAATACTTTTGTTCTATATAATATTTTTATGTGTTTTTGGCGTTTCTCGTGGCTTTTTTCTGTGGTGGCCTAAAGATTGTCTGTTTATCTGGTTTCTCTTAGCCGTGGTTTAAACGATTCACATAATAGTTCCGTATTTTGAATCGGGATCTCATTACTCCAATGAGGTATATATATATATATATTTTGAGCAATGACCAAATTTCTCTAGCAGTCTCTCCTAATGTCCACGATACACCTTCAGTGTTAACATTTAATTATTTAACCATGAATGGTGTTGCGATGGTATTTGAGTAGCTGATGGTTGTTTTTGTCTTTTGCATAATTTACTGTTCTGATCGTTACCGTGAATTGTGACTGCTTTATTCTAAGCCTGTTCGAATTGCAAGTTCTCAGTCTTTGAATACCAGTTTCTTCGTGTTTAACTACTGCCCTCATGAAAATAGGTTTCAGTGTTATATGCCTACTAACCCTTTTAATTGTTAACCTAAGGGTAAAGTTATAAATTTAGTTGATGCATAGTTTTTAGATGTACTTTTCGCTTTAGTCTGTGTTGTTTTTTCGCGACTAGTAAATGTGGCTGATGTCGAACTTGTGCTCGCGAAACTAATTTAAGTTTTTGTATTTACGTGAGCAGTCCAGGTACTTTCGATGAATTAGAGTAAATTCATACTTACAGTTAGAAATATATTGTTTTAATTAGTTCTTTTCATGGTCGTTAAGCGCCCATTGTTATCAATCAATTTATGCTGTTCGCTTACATTCTATTTGTCATACTAGCACGTTAGTATTTTCTGTTTGAATGTTTTACAACCACTTACTGGACAGTTTCTTTCCTGAATCTCACTTTAACTTTTTTTATAGATATCGAATGTAGATATTTCAATGGGCATCCTTTCCGACTTTCGTGACGGTTTCTTTAATCGAATAGTTCAAGAAGTAACAGCCACTTAGCACTCACTATAGTCAATTTAGCATGTTTTAATTTTTGTAACGCCAGATGTCGATGGCGTTTGTGCTTGGCGAATACTCAGGGTAAGTTAATGCCTTTTTTCATACGCATCCTTAGCATTTGCTTCGTCAAGGACAGGTCCTTTACACTCTAATTGTTGTTTCAAACAAGGTTGAGCTTTGTCAGCAATTTTGTCTAAATAAGGACAAGGTACGCCCCATACTGCTTTTGTCGCACTGTCGCTAGTTTGACCACATTGTCCTCATAAATTGCGGCGCCAATTTTGACGTTCTCGAAGTGCTTGAACCCCCAGATCAAAGCATATTTTATATTTGTGATAGGTAAGCTCTGTGTGTGTGTTTTGATTTTTGTGCATAGCCACCGTCCTATCCACGTGAACAACTTTTACAACCAAAGGCAGATAAATTTGATTACCCTAAACGAGAACACCGATGATATTCCAAAGTTTGAGGACATCTACAACGACGACCTGGTTAGTTCACTAAATATTTATTTAAACAGCGTTTAACACGGTGGCTAGCTTAAACTAAGTTTCTGTAAACATTAAACGGTTTCACTTTATTATTTGGTTTTTCGACGTGCATTGTCGCTTGCAGCAGCAGAAATAAATACGAAGCTAAATTCCTACATTGACTTAAGTCTCATACAGATTGTACCATTTCGTGCGATTTAAAGTAATTTTGACCACCTGCAGCCGCAATAAATTTGCCACTCCCTCTGTAATATTTATGCGAAAACGCCGGTTAAGCATACCGTCCACCGGCACATTTGAGTTCTTTGTGTCTTTGGAACGAAAAGGGAGACATTTACAGTAGCTTCCAGATGTAAAATCAGAGAGGTTATGAAGGCATCCATTGGTCGCGGTCCTCATCATTTTGAAGATCTTAATCCATACTCAGATCTACGAACCGCCTTAGTAAGTCAATAGCCTTCCCTCTAGTCGTAAATATGTGTAGCCTAAGGGGGATCCTGTATATATTTTTTTTTCACGGGAAAAAGCCTAGCCGAGATTAATTTGAATGCACACGTGTTCTTGTTTGAACCATACTTTTGTTTAATAAATCTAAATCTAGACAGATAACTCCGAGGGTAGTGAAGATGAAGGCGACCGTCAGCGGAATCGAATGCTAGCTGCGGAGAAGCGAATCAGTCGACGAAGGTGGGAGCGTCGAAAACAGGAGATTCTTATTGAGTACGAGAGCTTCTCGTATTACACCACTTCATCTGCTGTTGTGCTCTTCGACCTTGCGTGGAGGCTCTCCCAGGATAGCCATCAACTGCTGTGGTTTGTCGTGTTCTTTTTTGGTTCAATTAAATCAAATTTAACACGTCCGAAACTTGGTTTGATTTCCACATATCGGTAGTATGGCTTAAACGACTTTAGTGGATCGCTTTTTTTTTAAAAACAGCTAGATTCCTAAAACCGACGAAAGCGAATTCTGTCGAAGTTAATTACTTTCGAGAAAGGAAACTCAATATATCCTATTGCCCGAGTCACGTCGCCGTTTAGCAGTCGACATTTTCTTCCACCCATCTAAATACCCACCTTGTAAGACGTTTCTCTATTCTTGAGAGTGAGCTATTTTCATAAATTGAATGTCCTCAAATCCATAATCAGAAAACTTAAAGATACAAGCTTACACGAAGGACTCATACATTGTTTTTTGTTATCATTTTCAATTTATTGGAGTAGAATACTTTCGAGGGACCGATGTAGTTCACCCGAACTATGTTGGCCATTTCGAAGACCAGCCGTCCGTCTAGTGCGGATGTCGACACTCGTATTCGTGCTGGCTCCCGTTCTCAGTGTAACATTAGCCTAATGTTGCGTTTGTTCGACCATGGTGATTACCGTCAAATTCTTCCTATTAGCTGGTGAATTTTGAAAGTATACATTTCTTGAATTCAGAACCGTCCTACCACAAGTCACGTCAACAAAGGTTCACGTTACTATTCGGGTATTTTAACCTAGGTTATAAATCGAGAGCATCTGATAATCTACATGGCGGCATCGAGAAGTACCCCTCATGGAGCTAGTGACAGTGTTATTCCTTGTTTTATAGTTTGAATACCTGCATGTTTGGCTTTACTGTGGCGTCTCTTCCAGCCTATAAAGACATTTTAAGTTGCCCAGAATATTGCATCATCTCTTGGCCCTCTCTTTCAATATTTTTCCTCATGCTTCAATAATCATACTCTGCTTACTATACTCCAGTGGTCTGTACTTAAGCCTTGTCGAGATCCGAACTGAGTAGTTGATAGGAAATCCCGAAAATGTTTGACTCCTTATCTGAGAAGAAATTCCATTACTGTCACTAATCGGTATGATGTAGCGGCTAATGGTTACCATCCAGCTATTGGGCTTTTCTCTAACTCACAACTGTTTTCAAAACCTCAAGACGTTTATTCTCAATCCCAATTACCTTACACTGTATGCAGTTAATTTCGCACTAATATGTTTGCCCCTTCACAATCATCTACTAAGTGGCCTCGTTAGGGAAATTTGCACTTCACAATGCAGGCCTGTTTTCTCACTCACTTTTAATAATCGCTCGCATCCCCGACAGCTCTTATTGTGGTATCAATAGGCTGCCGTCGTTCTGTGTCCCCGTGTAACTCTACTCTTGCCTAGCCATGAGGCGTTACCGCAGTGCACTTGAATGCAGACTGTCCATTCACCGTCACTGGCTGTTGTTTTCGTTGAGGTGTATTCTTTGATTCAAATCCACCATTGTGGTTTAATTCAAATTATTATTAGTCATAAGATTGTATAAGGTGTGATTGCCACTCCGGTTCCCCAAGAGACTGTAGCCCTCTTATGAAGTGTGGCATCTGTAGGTGCGCGATCGTCGGACAAACCAGCCAATTGATGCTGAACAAAACTAATCGGGACCACTACATTGACCAGATAGAATACCTCCAGAGCCACGTGAATCGGCTGGGCCACTCGTCTCACGCTCAAACGCAGCTTGAAAGCAGAAACCAGGACGTTTCCATCAGTTTCGACGAAGAGCTCACCTTATGGCTGTACCGTCACTGGAGCCTGAAAGACGCTCTCGAGATCACCATGCTGACGTCAACTCGGTTTAAACTCTTCACAGAAGGCGGCCACAAACGGCTTCAGGAATTCCTCGCTAGTATTGGGTGCGTCAGTGTGTGTTTCTCAGACTTCACGTTTAGTGAGATTAGTGGTTCCTTATGTTACACGACAGGCCATCTCTAAGGACGACGATGTTTTAAACCGCCTAACATGAGTTGTCAAAATGCTTGAATTTGGATTGTCAGAGGGGTTTCCAAGTGGTATTTATTTTGCGGTGGTGTTTCGTTTGGGCGCTCAAAACGATTAGCTGAGGTAACTTAAGGACTAGATTGGTTTAGTGAGATGTCATGCTCTACAACTTAGCAAAATAGCCTCTGTGCGATTTGCATCGTGACACCTGCAGTTTGTCTTGGCATGGTCTGTCGGTGGCTGACGACGCAAAAAGTGCGGAACAAATTCCTGCTCTCTGGCCTGATAATACGAAGTTATTGACTCGAGTGGCTCTCATGGGAGCACAATTGGTGATGATTCGACCAAGCGGTAATGCTTGTTTGGGGTTTTGCCTCCCCAATTCGGTTGTCGTTTTCGCCTAACATTAGATACCTTAACAAAAATAAACTCTCGTCATTGACTGATCTACTTGGTTACTTTGCAGGTTGTGCTTATTCATGCAAATTAACATGATTTTACAGGAATAATTCTGATGGAAATAGCTATGGTTTGGATGTGTGCGTGATTATTGCCAGTCAGGTGCCCTGATCAAAGTACCACTTGTTGCTACTCATAGGTTGCCACGCCGAGATTGTGCTCAAAAGTACTCAACCATGAACGCCCAGGTGAAAAACAATTTGAATCTGCTATTCCTTCAGTTTGGGGACAAGTTTGGGTAGGTCTACTTCCAACTTATTTGTCTTCATTGGTGTCTTTTCTAAAGTCTCACTCGGCCGGAATTGTTTTTGCCCTCATTCATCCTCCGACTGTCCTACAAGACGCCTCTGTCGGCGCTGGATTGTTTTTGGTTGACTTTGGCCGCACTTGAATATCAGGTAAGTGCTGCTTTCTTCACATTCTAACTATGCCGACGCTCTAGTCAAGTAGCGATCCCACTGGAAACTTCCACACGGCCATGGAGAATCTCACCTGGTAAGCTTGCGCGTTGGTCCGTCTTTGTGCTTTGCTGACCCCTCCGATGTTCCGTTGTCGGAGCATTTTACGCCAACGAGATTGATTTAAACACTTTAAATGCTTGAGAGACCTCACTGTGTGTGTATAGTCCAGTCAAAAGCTCTTGGCGTCTTACCGACCTACTACTTAAATTCACGAGGCCGCCATTTTGTTCCTAAAATGCTGTAATCGCTAATGATGTAGCGCCCTTTGGTCTTCAAGTAGACTTCTTGACTTCACAACTAACTACACGCCTAGCTTTTCTATAGGTTCACACCAAGTCGGTAGATACGTTTGCCTATTCATCCCGCTTTCACATCTGCCAGCTTCGCCATCTCAATGTCTTTTCCGTAAACATCGATGTATTGCTTTAATTCGCGAACATGTTGATCCTCTTTCCCACATTGTCGTAACAATTATCATGCAACAACAACTTTGGCCCAAAATTGTTCAGTAGGATTGGTATTTGACGCAACTGAGGGATAGTAATGTGTGCACAAATAATTGTGGGCAGAACTGCTCGCGTCTGCGTGAGTCGTTCACACACACTTTTTCTCCCCGTCTGCTTCTTTAGTTGGTCGATGGAGTCCCTTGAGGAGGGGATGGAGAGTCTGCAGGGCCACCTGCGGTGTCTGGTGGGCCAGGTGCGGGCCCTTCTCGACACCGATGAGGTGGTCGCTTTCGGCCCCTTCCTCTACGTCTACGTGGCCAAAGTGAGTTCGCATTATCTCCTCCTCCTCCTCCTCCTCCTGCAGGCATCCAACCACAATGAGTTGCCTTGCTTCACATGCACACGTCATCCGGAGTGATTTTGCTTTAATAATAATACTCGCAAAACAAGTAGTACGTTTGCCTAGCTACTTCACTGCAACCAAGTGACGCTCTAATTGGGGTCGCTCGATTTTCAGGTGGGATCCACTAATGTGGTAGTGTTAGGCCAAATGTAGCATCGAAAGGTGTCGGATCTGGGTGCGTTCAGGTGTTGCAGCCGTCCACGTCCTCGCTGGCAGTCGCTTTTCCATGTGTTTTGTGACGATACGAACCTCATAAAGAGCATTTAATTGGGCTAATAAAGGTCACGTCTTGATGAAGTGGCCTGTCAGATCAATTGCACATCTCGGCAGTGATTTTTTCATACCGAATCGAAATAATGACGGATCGGAAGTGAGGAGTGACAGCTGTGCGTGAATTCGGACCTACAGTGCGTAATTTTACATACACATAGCGTCTCTGTGGTAGTTTCACGCTTATTATTCTTCTATTGTTTTGCTATTGACTGTGAAGTTTTTTGCTTACAGAGTTCCCTGTTGTCCCAGAATCACCGCAATCCACAGGTTCTCAGTATTCTAGCTCGGTACATCCTCTCAGCGAAGGCCGCCACGCGCAACAAAGTGGCAAGTGGATTTGTCTTGACGTGATTTTCTACTTTGTTTATTTGAGTAAACGTACATTATTCACTTCAGGGACGGAGTAAGCGAATTGTCACGATGCCCTTGGTGCTTTGCGTGGATAGCAAAGTCGATGAAAACTACCTCTACATCATCGGAATTCCTCCACTGCATGGTGACGACGATAGAAAGTGCGCTCCTAACTAGTCATCATATGCTTAAATAGCCTTATGCTTTTATACTTTGGAACTGGTTTTAGGTCAAATGGGTCAGTCGAATTTTTTCAGTAGTTTATCTAGTAATTGGCTCAGTGTGAATCATGCTGCCATTTATTCATTACTATTAATAGTAATCAATTATTTTGCACGAACCAGCTTTTGTTTACCGTATCACAACTAGTCAATTCCACAAACTAATACTTGCAAATGCAGACTTACAGCCACCAGGCTTGGGATCGTGTTCTTTACTGTTACGTGGTAGCTCACTGGGGTGTAGCGTAGGGCTATTGTGTAGCAAAGCGTCGAAGTGGCACTTTTGGTTCCTGATATCCGACGTGCTCCACCACCCCAAAGCCATCCACCGTGATTGTTGTCTGAGGCGACTTCGCTGGGAGGGGAGGTGGTGACTGCGATGTGCTCTTTTCTGCGAAAGAACGGTTAATCAGTTGAAACATGACCCCGAATTCATGTCAACGTAAATGCGACGGAACTTCAATGACAGGATGCAATGCTAAACCTGACAGGCAAATGCGGCAGACAAGAATGGGGTGAAAGAAACCTGAAAAAAACATTCCTGGGGCACAGCTGTGCCAGAATTGAATAGTCTGTTTGACGGGGCAGATGTGCACCGCCGTGCTCAGTCCAACTCTGGCGTTTTTGGTGCAGTAGGATGCACAACGTGTTTGTACTTAACTGCGCCGAAACCCGCCGCGTACCTGCTGACAGGGGAGGAACGAGCATCCGTCGTCTCTCTGTGTTGAGTCGGCGTTTACTCTTTCATCTGGGGTGTCGTTGTTGTTGTTGTTGTTGTTGCGGAATGAAGCATTCGTGATGGTTCTTCCGATGAATTTTTAATTGTCCCACCTACCCTGTGATTTGCGGTCGTAAATCCTAGGTGGAGGCTATCGTAAGCGCTTGCAACGGCTGCCCAGGTGTGGACGCCTTGAATGGAAAATGCCCCGTTGCTCGACATGCTGAAATGGTCAAGAAACGGAGAAAACTGGACTCGCAAATCGTTGTTGAATCGGCCGTTGCCCAATTCTAGCTTAAATCCTATTAGCACAGCCTAATCGAAAAATAAGTCCCAGGCATTTATCCTAGACGAGCGACGGTCTGCTTTTTTCGGTCAATTTTGAGCCAAGCTATAAAAACGATGACATAAGCAAGAAAGAGAGAAGCGTGTAAAATTTTGTACCAACATTGGCGACACGTCAGTTGTGTTGTTACTTAAAAAAGCATTACAGTAACGTTCCCTGTTATTTTTTTCATTCTTCAGCATTTTCGGCCAGGTCTTTGATGTGGCCGTAAAACGAACAAAGGCTCGAGCCGATTTCAGGCATTTTGACTCGAACTGTAAGTTTCGAAATCCTTGTCTGTTGTGTGTTTAGCGTTTTAATGCTGTAAATATTAAATTGCGAGGGAATAGCAATGGGTCTCTTGGGTATTTAACTCTTGGACACACACACACACACACAGTGGACATTTCGGAGGGGTAACGCTTTAAAACGGAAACGCGATTTAGGGTCACTGGTTATCAGCTCCTTTAGATTGATACAAATTTTTACAAAACCTTCTTGAGTCTGTCTAATTCGCTTTTTTTGTGCCATCCTGTGGTTGTTTATAATAGCGCTCTCACCGAACAATTCCGTCTTTGATTGAGTTAAAGTTGTTTAATTTATTTCACTTTCCGAACATGTAATCAGCCTATCGTAGCAACGCAACTGCCCTTCGTGTTTTCACGGAAATACTGGCATAGTACAGCCGGGAAGATGTCAATTGGCGTAGTCGATACCTAGTGGGTTGCTCAACTTGAATCCACTTTATCCGATGACCTTGTGCCTCCCTTCCGGCAATTTCATGAATCCGCGATCACAAAAGTTCTGTTCCTTATGAGCAAAAACTGAACCAAGCGCAGTTTCAGCTCAACATCGTTGTGGGCCAAATATTTGTACAAATTTTGAATTAAGGGCTAGGCAAGAGAGACGTGCGACATCACTGCTCCCCAACCAAGCACCGATGCTTCTCCTCCAGTTACCTGACACGTGTTAGGCCATGCCATGTCCTGGTTGAGCGCATTTTCCTTGCGACGTGACAATTCTAGTCCTTTTTTCTCTAGTCGTTTGCTTCGTTTTCATTATGAGTTGTTGGCAAATACATGAATTGACCGCTTGGATTCTTGGCGGCAATTCGAAGCTCACATCTTTGCAATTCCAATAAGTCGACGGCTCGGGGTAGTTCAGCACGTTTGCACCATAATCGCTTTCCACTGATTATATTGGTGTCAATCCACGTTGCATGACTAATGATGAAACGTTTGAGGAAAGCGACGATTTACTTGCGTTTGACACGTGATCGAATTTTTGCTTTTAGTTCTGATTAGGTCGGCACTAGCTTTTGTAAGTGGGGCAAAATGTTGGTCTACTTGAAGTGGAGAAGCTCCAGAATGAATCTTTTTTATAAACCAATTCTGGCTCCTGCGTTCGTAGTAGGTAACCAACGTCATGAATTTCGCATATCGTTTCGGAACTTACATAAATCCAAAGGTGATAAGTCGAAAATGTTCGTTTCTGAATGATGTGCCTGCAATGTACTTCACTGTCAAATGGCGAATACAACAGCCTTGACAGAAGCCTTCTATAACGAACCTTGTGCACTCAGTTTGTCGTGTTCAACATTTCTCGACTGTCACTCCCCTATTTTGGTTCCACTTCCCGTTGTCCTAAAACGCTTTAGATTGTTTGCCTTGGTTGTTTAGTTATTTCGACTATCAGATAACTATGCGTACAGTTGCTCAGCCCCCCTGGTGATCGTACCGCGATGTTTTGTTAAGGATTTTTTGCCCATAACATTTCAAATGTCCATTTACCTTAAGAAGCAGTAGTGCTTATAATATAAGGACGTTGACGATTACAAGAATTGCGTCAGTTTGGCTTGCTATGACGAGATGTATTGCAGAAATTCGGAAAATATCTGAAGGTCCGCTCAATACCAACTTATGAATCCTTTCTGAAGTTACGGTGGTGAAGTTGTTTTGTGGTAGCAGTCATGTCAGTTTGCTTTCAACTTCCAACAAATCTGACGCTTTGTGGAGCCGGTACAAACCACTTCAGAGACTATCAAGGAACGCTTCGTGTGTTCGTTCTTCAAGTAATTCGAAGCCATCAGTACGGTCGGCTTTCTGTGCATGGACATTTTTCCTGTGTGGCTTTTTTTGCGCGGCTTCGCTTTCGTGTGTGTGTGTGGCACCCTCCACTTTGTGAGTGTTTTAAAATTGCCTATTCTGGCCTTACGGAAACGAAAAACACAGTCATAAGTGTTGTTTTACGAGCGCCTTTATTAATAAGCTCCCTGTTGAATTTTTTTTAATCACTGCTCCTTCGCCACCTGTACTTCAAAACTTGAATGTGGAGCCTGAAGGTGGTGGGTTCTGGTGATGTGGAGCGAAGGGCAGTGTACCTCACGGGTCACCACGACCGTAGTCACTTGCAGGAAAATTAAAACATTTCACGTGTTAAAGCGCCATCCTACGCGCCGTCAGACTTATCAGCTATGTGCTCTGCATTACCAACTTGTGTTTATGTTTTAGGCATTGAGCTTCATCGAGAAGATATGCTCAAATTCTTCGAAGCCTTGGCTTCTCTCCTGAGCTCCTGATGAACCATTCCATTGACCCTGATCAGGTCAAATTTCATCATCGATCATGCATTTTCAACCGGACTTTACGTGCACTATATTTTTGTATCCTTCATGTGAAAAGAGAAACAATAGTATCGTGGACAAAACGATGATCGGCGCCTCTTTTTTGAGACGAAATGCGTCACGGTGTCGTCAAGCGATTACTGGGGGTGGAGGAATAGTGGGATAAAGTGGTTCTGATTGCGTTTAATTTGCAATGCATTTCGACATTTGTGCCATCGTTTGCTCTAAAACTTGGGCGGTATTTTTTTTAAAAATTAATATCATTTCCATGTCTATAGACGAGTCAGCCTGAGTGGCTTACTACTTGTAATATGCACCAGACCTTCGTAAAGCACGAGCGTGCGAGTTGTCCTCAAGATCATTCCTCAATTCCCCTTATTTCGGACCTCGGGTTGTGACCGTAAAAGCTGCTTCTCCTTTTGCTGCCCGTCGCATGCACACTTTTCTATTGTGCGTTTTTTGTAATGTCCAAGGCTTTAATTCCAGTTTTCCTTTGATAAATTATGTGGCCATTTCCTTGTTTGCTCCCGAGTTAATGCATCGAATTGATCAAGTACCAGCAAATTCCTAACACCTTTTCCGCCGCAGGTCTTCTTTAACCATTGAATTTGAGTTTGGGGTACTTTCTGCTTCTAAACATTAATGCCAGCTTTACCGTTGAAAGCACTATGTTTTCGAGTTTAACGCATATGTTAAAGTTTTGATTGAAAAGTTGTCATTAGCAGACCACTCATGTGTTATCGCCGTGTCATCTGAAATAAACCCCGTATCCCAAAAGTCCGGGTGCCTCATAAAAGCCAGCAGAGCCGAATCAATGGTTTCAAATTAATCATCGAGTATGCAATTACTAAGCTCAAAAATGTTCCTTTTTAAACCGAGAATCAACAGAGTTCGGTGTTTTTTGTAAGACACCTGTTTGATTTAAAAGGCAGCTTGAGCCGAAGTTATTCCCCGTACTGGAAGCTGCCAGTGGCATTTAAATGCTTCGAACTTTTGGTACCGCATTACCTTGAGTCGTTAAAGTCTCATTTTCCAATCAGCGAATAATGAAGAGCAGTCAATTTAACTATCGCTCGATATGGCATCCTAGTGTTCGCCTTCACAGTCTACCTTTAAACTTCCGAAGATATCTTCGATGCAATCAGGGATAGACGAGTTTCAGACATTCTTCCATGTGTTATCGTTTATTCACATTTGCCACTAAAGGTCAAGGTATCGGGCTGATTTCTCTGTCTAAATCACTGCAGAGTCCCGTCCGTCAAATTCCATATATCTGTTTAATTCTGTCTTGAAGTGGTTGCCGTGCTCGACGCCTTGGTACGCCATGGAATGAAACTTCTTTGAGGTGAGCGCAGAGCCACGGTATGGACTCCTAAACCCTTATAAATCTATTTTCCACTGCCTTCTCATTGTGTAGATGCATGAATCCCTTCTTTGTCTAATTTGTACAAAAAAACAAACAACTAGTTAGACCTATGTACTTCAAGTCACACTCGTCGCGAGAGGTTAATCAAGAACCGCCTGTCGTTGGCTCAGTGATATATTTCCCGTCGAAGTATATGGAACATTTAAAATTGGTTTTGAAATTACCAGCTCGATGTTGCTAGGGTCAGAGATGTTGGGCAGGTGTGGCGAGGATTAGAGAGAAAATCTGAATGTTCTGATGATATAGCGCCAAAATGTCTAAGAAGTCGATTGTGCAGAGACTGCAACCAGGGTGTTTTTACTCCAAACGAAATCATATTAAGCCTCAATATTCATGTTTTTAACTGTGATGTCTACTGATTAGTACAATGTGTATTAAAGTTCAATAAATTTGGGCGATCCGTTGTTTTCCATTAGAAACGTTCCAGTCTCTAAAAGATCTCTGCTCGAAATTTAATGACAAGTTATGTTTATTTCTGCCTTCTATCCAAGTTTCCATTGCAATCGGTGATCACTTCGCACAATTCAAAGCCCTGCTGCTGTGATTCTTCAATCACAATGTTTGATCTTACATTTAAATTGTAACCCTTGGTGAAATCATAACCGAAGTAATTGTGTTTGATTCTGAGTCTAGTCGTCGATCGTTTTTCGCCTTCTAGAAAATTCAGGTACTGTTCTGTCTTGAGAAGACTCTGCTAAATGTGAAGCAACTTCAGTTACAATCGACGCAAGAGTGAAGTTCTTCGCTGGTGGCTTGAGAAGCGAGTTCTGCTACGTTTTGCCCGCAACCACGACCACACACTCCCTTAGATAACCGTTACCCCAGAATCCTTATCAGACCCTAGCCCCCCACCTTCCCACGTTAGCGCACGACCAGGCAGGGCCTCGTTCAGGGAGCTTTTAATGTCGCAGCCAAAGGCCCAGTGATCTGTTTGAATGTACTCACTTTTATAAGTCAAGGATGATCCTGACCTGATGGATGAGGCGGAGTGACACAGACGGGGCTGTCAGCAGGCTGGCGTGGGTGACTCACCCACTAAAGTGACGTAGTTAGGGCAAGTGTTGCATTCAGTGAACAAATCCTAACTCGCGATGAGCCATCTTCAGGAATGCCTGATCCCCAACAAGTTCCGAACTTTTCCTACAACAGCGTGCTTTTAATCCTAGATGCTGAAATTATATCAGGTGGGAGTTATTCTTAAACACAAAAGAATGATATACTAAAAGCGCATGGCATCGGCAAAGCTGCCTTATAAAAAAGTTGGGGCACATTCTTCGCTAATTTATTTAACTAATCAAATTTACTAGCAGCAAGACTTGGATCGCATGCTAGGTAAACACGATCAATCTTAATATAGAACCTAAAGCAGTGTTGTTTGGGCTGTATTAGTTTGCGGTAATTGTTTTACAAGTTTAAAAATGTTCCTGATTTGGAGCTTGTAGCAAGTGATTGATTGAAGGTATGCATTTGATATCGCAACTTCATACATCGACATCTGACAGTTAACATATGATCATTTTCAGCCTACGAAATTGTCTAGTTTTGAGAATATGGCCCCAAATTGCTTGATGTTAAACTTCTTAACGCCCTTTAAATACTTGCCGGGAAGGCCTAAGTAGTCTTTAATTTGCTAAGTTTCCGCTGCAGTTGGTTATGCCCAAAAGGAAACTATTTACCAGCTTATGTACATAAATGTGTGGTGGCTAGAGATTTAGCACTACCTTACAACCCTCTAGTTAACAGCCCGTAACTACCAGAGGAAAGGGGGAAAAGCGGCGACAGAGAACGCGACCGTTTATTAGTATCACACCAGCCAAGTGGCTTTGTGGGTGTATGAGTACGCGTGCGTGGCAGTCGAAAGCTGACAGAGGCCAATAACAAAAGGGGTGAATCATTGGTCAACTCGGGCCCTCATGCGCGCATCACCCATGCGAGGTGGCTTGTCAGTTCACTAGAAATGAATTTAAGAGATGGGCACACCTAAGTCGTGCAAAATAACTTAATGAAGCCTCAAAAATCCGGACCAGAATCGACATTTCAGAAGATGCAAGGCATAAATGAAATTGACACCTCTCAGCCACTACAAAAATTTGGAACTTACTTGAGCTTAACCGCCATCACTGCTTGACATTCGAAACAGGTTATTAAAGGTAGTGCCTAGTGGTAACTAAGCCGATGCAGCCTGTTAGGCTTTCAATTGATGGCAGTTAGCGAGCGACCTGTTTAAACACATACAAGACAAGAAAGGTAGCACGAAATGAACGTAAACGAAGTTCAATGGTTAGAACTGCCTTACAGGATGATGGCAAGGGGATTACGTAAGCACAAGGTGTTTTGAACCAACCCTTTTGGCGTGTGCGCTGGTTAGATATAGATAAAAACACAATAATATCTGCTTTATTTGATTACTTAGGCTAGCAGTTTAAAGATAAGGCCATCAGTCAGTCAGGTGGCCACAGAGGTCCCGAAATCAATGCAATTAAGCGGACTTCAAAAGTCTTTTCAACTAAGGTCCGCCTACAAATCGAAGATCAACTCTAGACTGGCGACAAACAAGCTCAAAGCACACAAAGAGTTGAAAGAACACTCCGTTAGCGTTTCGACACTGTGGGATCTGGTGCTTGTCAGGTTTGGCCTATCTGGGTGGCGCAGGTGTCTGGAGTGCAAAGCCGTTTGCCACAAGGACGAATACTGTCAGTCATCCCTGTCCAAGGAGAGTAACCGGCACCCCCACGAGAAGAACAAGCCAAAGCCCAAGCCAGTCGGGCAAGCCATCATCATGCGCAGATTACAAGCCACCTCCGAGGACTATGCGCAAAGGCAGCGAACAAACACACGTCCTCAGAAGGTGGCGCTTTCTCGGTCGGCCTACCTCCCGAACAGTTTTCAGTTCCTTCGGCAAATAAATTTAACCATAGGGAGAAGTACAAGGCAGTGTCTCTTTCCGCTGCACAACCTTCAACCTCATTTGCAAAGATCCGCATTCTCCAAATGCCTTCATCCGTAGCAATCCGACCACCAAAGTGGATGCCAACATTACTGACGTATCCTTCAATGGCAGTATCGCACAGCGGCTATCAAAGATTGCCTGCACCCAGGCAGTCACAACCCGTGACATCAACGGGAGGCAACCTTAGACTTTGCAAAGCATCAGGCCATCCTGTTCATCAAAAGCAACGCAAGGAGTACATGGGCTGCTCACTCTGACAGGTTACTCAACCGTTGACTGAGATTTGAGGTCATATCACAGGAAAGGTGGGGCTTGCTTTTTCAAAGAAATTAGTGTTTTGGTCCTCTGGGTTTGTGCTTTTGATTACGTGAGAATGGTGACAACCGGTACGAAGAGAAATAGACGTGAAAACAAGGTTGAGTTTGTTCCGTTCCGTAGAAATGTGTGGAACCCATTTACCCATTTCCTTTAGTTTATTTACCTTGCTTTAAGGAAGGAAATGTAGTCGAATTGTCAACAGTTTTCCTCTAACTGATCTCTTCTCTAGTAATCCTTGGATTATTGTTAGCTAAATCATGCATAAAGCCATTGTCAAGAGAGAAGTTTTGCTTTTTAGATTGAGCTCCCAACGTAAAAAATAGAGCAAACCGCTTTAAATGTACTACCAGCAAGAGATTTAAACAAATAGATGGAGCAAATATTTTTTGTTGCAGTTCTGGCACTCATCTCTGCTTTGAACTCAAGCAACACAACATGACGGAACTGAAACGCCTACTTTTCATTTTAAGTATTACCCTGCACACAAATTAATTAGTGTTACTTTGACTGGTGACGCATGTAGACAGCTGTCAGTTACCTTGATGGCTACAAATAATCATCAGCACAGTCAAAAGTACACGCCTGTTACGGTACAATACAGCGCGAAGTAGCCAAGGCAGAAAAAAGACAGGCGAGACTCAACCGTTTATTCGATGCCCCAACCAAGATGACTGTCTCGCTCCACCGAATAATGGGGGTTGCTAACCCAACCAGTCTGGGTGAATCTGTAAGAATGCATACGGCTGAATGGCCAGACGAATGAAATGGGTGGTGTGGAAGTGGTACACGCACAGGGGAGTGTGTGCGGGCAGTTTCGAACATCATAAGGACGACGGGAAAATGAGGTCAGTGCGGTGAAGGGACGTGAATCAGTGTGACTCCGACTTGCTTCTGCCATCGATGAAAATTTGCATTTATCCAATGCGTACGGAACATTCTTTCAACTATGGAACGAATTCCTTTGGCTATGTAATTCTTCCCATACTATCTAAAAAACTGAAATTTTCCCTAGTTGATGTTTAACATCTTCAACGTCGCAAATCAACTCATTTATTCTAGAAAAATTAGTCACATTAAAAACTGACGACATGAAGCTATATTCCTGTTTTCACACTAACCCCCTTACACCCTTGCTCAGTATGACATCCTGTTCTAGAATAATACTCCTGAATTTTCAAGGATACGTAAGATATGGTTGCGGAACTATCCAAGAATTCAACTTTGTTTGATTAAGCCCTGAGAGATCCTACATACAGATTGTACGACTCCACTTGTTAGTGCCTTCTACCGAATCCCTGAAAATGAATATAGATTTACTCTAGCATGTAGTGAGAATCTGTGAGTAGGTAAAATAGCAAAATTACCATTGAATGTATTACTGAGTTATCTCTCGGAATCAAACACTAGATGAACTGATTCAACAGGCAGTTCATTCTGCGTAAAATAAATTACAATGGGGTGTTTGTGTGCACTTATTTTAAAGCTTTTAGCTGTACTGTTAAAGGCCGAAATCTGTAGCCAACGACTATAGGTGTTCTGCTGCGTGTACCACAGTTTGTTACCTTGATTCAGTCAATGTAACGATGAAGGGACTTAGCTTATTCAGTCGCATTACGAAGCAGGATTAATACAAGGGAAACCTTTATTCCGTTTTTACTATAGCAAACACGTTTCAGAACCAGTTCAACGTCTCAAATATGCATTGGTGGCTAAAGGAAGTTTGTTGAATATTTATGAATTAGGCTGCGACCAGCCCACCCACAATGTTGAAAATTTTGTTCTATTATGGTAGCGGTAAAAATTAAATCTATTTCAAATTTTTGCAAAAGATCTACAAAATTTATTCGGAATTATTGGTCTGACTAGTTAGTCGGTCTTATTGGAGCGTTGAAAATCCAAAAGGCTTGGATACCGGGAATCGAGCTCCGTGAAATTATACTCAAACTCAAAAGAAGATAAGGGTAAGAGGCTAAAGAGATTTTGTCGCTTATTGAGCTGCTCAAGACACATGTGCATGCATGCAATCTCGTAATCACGGGCTTTAAGCAAAGACGAGTTTGACCAACAGCATTCGGGGTGCTTAATGATGAGATGGAAGGTGTGAGTCGATATTACGAAAACTTCAAGTTCGAACATCGGGGATTGTACATGTGAACAATTAGTGGGTGTTCGTCAATACGGGGATAGACGTGAGTTAACAGTTATTCACCACAGCAAACACTCGGATCTGTAAGTACCGTTTCCAAGGTTGATGTAGATTTTAGATAAACTGGACAATCAAGAACAACGGCTGTTTTTTAACAAGACTTAATGAAGCAATCCTGCAAGGATCTTTCATCAAACAAGCGCAAGTTGAGCTTATTTACGACTTGGTCGAATGTCATCGACTGTCGATTGCAGTTGACGTTCGATATTCACCTACGCATTGTGCAATAAAAGACACGGGTGAGCGAATGTAGGTAAAAAGCGTTATATTTGATATCACCGGTTTTGCCTTTCCTCTCGGGCCGTCACGGACTGTCGGCTAGCAGGGTTGTAAGGTGGTGCTCACGAAGTCGCTGCAACCCCAGCATGGAATATTCCAATGAAAAAATCCCATTTTATCCTTGGAACAAAATACAGTGAATTAACATAAGGTAACACAGACGAAATCTATTTCCCATTAGCATTTGTAACTGACACCCAAGTAGAGAGATTTCTACATAATTGACTGCGGAAGACCACAAATTCCTCAAGCTTTCAAAAGCACCACGTTGCAGTTAGCGCTATCACTCCCATAGTCTAACCGAAGTTTTACATAATGTTCCTGGCCTTACTTTAAGAAAACGTGGAGGTTTGTAAACCTGGCATCTTCTCAAAAGTGGTGGCCTATATTCTTTCCACACAACTTTTGAAGTACCTTCCATGTCTGGAATGCTCTTCATTAGTCCTCCGAGTGTACTGTGTTTATCCAAACTCAAAGCCTTGGTGTCAGGACAATGGAACAAGATTGACTAATTGCTATTTTGGTAAGGAAAAGGAGCAAGAAAGCCCCCTTTCTACAGGTGCATCTTTGTTGTTTGGCTCATTTTTCACTAACTGACTCTCGTGGTGCAAACATAGGTGATAAAGGCAAAGCATTTCGATTAAAAGTTTCGAATGCAGTCAAAACGCGGATTTGTAGAAAAAAGTACAACTAACAAACTAAATGAAAATGTTTGTTTATGGTAAATTCACTTTTAAACAACTAAAGTGCAGTGCTTGATATTGAATTGAAGTGCTTCGTCATCATTCACAATAGAATTTCTTGAGATTTGTACCAGGAAAGCTTAAAGTCCTTATCCTAATAGCTTTTTCGGGCTCACATTTGCTCACATCTGAATGTAAATTTAAGACGAGCGACATTAGTTTGAATTATGAAATGTCTTCATCGTCTTGAATCGATTACAAGATTGGTATGAACGAGTAACAGAAAATGAGACTGTGTGACGACCTATTTTGTGTGTGTGGAAGAAGCATATAAAACTGTCGGTAAGTTTGTAATGAATCTCGTTAATCCAAAACCACCACCACCACCACAATCACGTTTCACACACGACCTTGACCTGGTACCTGTAGTGCACCCTGACCCAGATTTATAAATATCCCATGAACAAAGACGTGCCACGAAATAACTGTTCTAGAAGTCCAGTAAACGACTGACCCATTTCCTCACCTCTGGGCATTTCGTGTTTAATCGTGCCACAGCAGATGTTCCAGTCCCACATTGGGCCCTCAACAGGAGAATCCCATCCAGTCCCTATGCCAAGCACCCATCAGTCAATGTCAAGAATTACTGGTCAACGTACTCTCTGCCACACATAGACTAATAATCTCTGACTACAAGTTAAATGTCGCTATTTGTAAATGTCTGTTTATATCCATTTATTACTCATATTCATACCCTCTGCACCTCTTTCAAGCAATCCTAAAAATTATTGACTAGGAAGTGCCCCGAAATTTCTTAGTATAGTTGCTTCGGCTACTTGCGAAGACTTTGAAGATGGGTCTTCGTACTGAAACTGTCGGTTCTACAAATGATAGCAAAGTGTATAAATAGGCAGTGGAGTTGATGTGATTTCCAATTAATGTGTAGCATATTATTAATTTGTTGTGGGCCCCAGCATGTGGTCTTGAACCACGCTGGGGCCACGGAATTAACCTTGGCCCGATTACTTTTCTCTGATACCCGCGATGAAGGAAAAGACCGGAGAAGACGGGACACAACCGTTTACTTTAGAGCTCAACCAAAACTGGTGTCGTTGTGTCGTCTGTGGGGTTTGCGCCTGTGTATTTATACCTCGGACGTGTGAGTCATACATGCGCTAACATCGAAACCTAAGTGTGGGGATACTTCAAGATAAATATTCGTGCTAATGAAGGGAGAGTTGAGAATTCATACGGCTGTCGACATTCTGCGAAAAAGGGAACCCTGTGTAGGAGATAGAGCGACCGGATCAAGGGGTTAAATGAACAAGATTCACGACAAATTTACATTGTTTTAGACTTAGAACATGTCCTTACTAACTTGCAGAAGTGATTTAAATAAATTTATTCACCTGCACTTTATTTATATGAACTAAAAAAAATCAGTTTCATTACTTTATAAGATGCCCTCATCACTCTTATTTGAAGTTTTATTTACGTATTCTATACGTGAGAAGAAAAGACCGGTACAAAATTACCGTTTCGTGGAGATTATAAAGTATTCATCTTTCTAGCAGCAGCTTATGTTGCCAAATGCTTCAACTGGGTTATTACTTAAACGAGACTCGCTTGACTGGTTAAAAGAGCGCCTTCAGTCAGAAAACAGCTGTAATAACTAAGTAATAGACTGTAATTTATCATGGAGTACTATGTACAAATAGCAGAGGCTCTGTATTACAATAAGGACTCTTCGAATCTCGCTTTCCATTTTGAAGACAAGGGTCAGACGCCTAATCTTAATTAGACTTAAGTGTTTTGTTTCAGGCGATAATTCTACAACAGAACAGAATGATAAGAGGAAGCGGTGACAAAAATTGAGCATGACGACACTTCGTACACACCAATCACACGTTTTTACTAGTTTGTCATCACAGATCTTTTTGCATCTTAAATTTTTCACTTGAAATTTCATGATTTCTGATCAGGATTGAAGAATTGCCTTGAGTCCCGGGTCGTTGCCAGGCCGTGGTCACCATCGGTGGTACCAACGTGAAAGACGGAGAAAGACAACGAGTAGGTGCAAAGGTTGAGTTGGGGTGCTGTGAGTGATCCTGGCCTGGGAGGTCATGCTGGGCCATTGCGCCGTCATTGTCAAACCACCCTTTAGAAGAACCGTTTTCGGCTAAAAATCAAAAAATTCGTATGAAGGTATTAATTATGCAAGCATTCACCGTACGCACGGTGACAATGGGATTACGTTAACGGTGTCCAGGTCACGTTTTAGTTGGCAGCGCCGTATGATTAATTCATCAGAATTAAGATTCTCTTCTAATAGGGCATATCAGCAACTGATCTTGCTGCCTTATAATGTGGTAGTATGAAGTACATCTGTTTCCGGAAGAGGATTCAAATCTATTTTAAAAATTAAATGAAGCATTTGGCCTCCAAGACACACCTGGTTCATAAAATTTAGCTAAAGTTGAATGAAGTAGGAAACACTATGGCAAACATTACTAGGAAACTTGCATATTTTTAGAAGTGTTTTAATAAGTTTTGACCACTTAATTATTTGTATAAAAACCCTCCAGAATCTATATAAATCATGGGATTTTTATAATTTAAATATTCAGGACGGAAATCGTACTAAAATGTGGATAAATAAGTGAGTTTTTCATATTTTTTTCAGATTTTCCTGACAAAAAGAAAAAACGAGTATAATGTTTAATTGCATAATATTATACCATTTAGCATGTATTTATAAAGGGCCTGGGTGTAGAGCTTTCACGGGAATTAGCCACCGTTTACTTCAATATATTCTTACGAGTTGTGGACGTCATGAGGTAAATAAACATGATGTGAACCTACACATGTTAACAGCCCTTTTTAATTTACAGTAACATTGATAACAGTACGGCACACACCCAACTAGAGTACCAAATCCGGAAGCTTCCTCTCACAATCATCTTGCTCTCCATAGTATATTTGGGCTCCAATGGTCACCCTGTGTTTCAATAATTCTAAGACCATACAGTTAATTTTATTATAAACAAGAATCACAATTGATTGCCCTTAAAATTCAGGACCAGGGAATAAACGCGAATGGCTGAGGATCTAAGATTAAGCCATGAATGTCCTTGTGTCGTGATGCGTCTTTCGTGTGATGCCCTAGTTCTTCACAAGATCCCTAAGAAGTGACAAGGTGGGCTGACCGATCGAGTCACCAACACCGCAGTGACAATGTTCAAGGCTCTGTGGATAAGTTATATTATATCCACTCCTAGCCATCCGTAAGCGGTTATTTTGGATTTATGACTTATGCTCATACTTCATTGTTGCTCACAAACAAGTGTTTTAACACCTACTCTAACCACGAACACACCCAGACTCCTGGTCTGCACGCGAGCAGACCCCTGTGACCTGGCACCTGCAGGTGGTTAAGCGACAGGATTGTGAGGCTATAAAACCACGGCACGTCTATCCTCTACTCTCCCCCCTCAGTTGCTTGGTTTACGCCATATTTCGGGGTATGTTTGCATCAAATCTGTCGGAAGGTTCAGTAAATGCAAACCACAAAGTGAACTGATGTTGTGACGTGACCTGAGTCAGCATATGTCATTGTGTTTCGGACTTGAGGGTTGATTTATGCTGAAACCAAATTCCACCTCACCATTTTGCGTCGAAAACAAAACTGCATCTAGTCCACCTACACTGTCTTCCAGTTTCACCTTTTGAAGACTGCATCTTGCTGTCGCAGCTATTTGTCCTAGAGGTGTATAACCTACAATAAAGGAAAAGTGTCGAGGATGCAGCTGTTCCTGAATATACTTCGAATAATAAAAACAAACGGCAAGGACTTAAGCCTTAAAGAAGGTGTATAAGAGTCTCTCTAAAACGAGACTTTTGACACAGGACATTGTCAAACGAGGTATTTAAAAATCATTTTATCACTCTCTTCCTCTCGCTTTGCTCCGTGCCTGGCAGTTAACCATATTAGTTGACTTAGTCTAGTTCTCAAGTGCGAATTTCTGTGTTTGCATATTTTTTTATCGCATTCAAGGGAAACTCAGTAAAGTTGTTTGATGGAAATATGCTTTGCCAGTGAGGTCTCCATTGATTTTATGTTTTTTTTATTTAGATCAAGGCTTGAACATTCACTAGGATAAATTAGTTTTGAATAAACAATAAGAATGGAGCACTAGTTCACCGAATATTGCGTATAATGTGTTTAATATTACCGAAGCCTAAAGCCATGTGCAGGGCTCTAGCAGATGATTAAAATCTCGCTTTTAAAGATAGCAGGAGATATGGCTGTTAGTTCACATCATGCATAGTAGTTGGTTATAATGCATATTAGTCGGGAGCAAGCTTCTTTCCACCTTCCGGGTAGCAGTTAGTGCTGTTAGCTTGGTACAAACCTTTTATTACTTTTAGGAGTCGTTATCACAGGTTGAGAACTGTTACCGTGTAGATTCAAAGGCTAAAGGAAATACATAATTCATGCATACCCTATGACAACAAAATTTAATATTTTGGGCAACAGAATTCCAAATGACAAAGGTAAGATTTTCTGCAGTGCAAATGCCGGCGCAGGAGGTTTTGGCTACTTTATTTCTCTGCTTTTTCACAACTTTCAATTCTTTAGTGAGGGTCCATTTGCTTGTATACGATCGCACCATACATTGCCAAGTCCAATTTTTTGCGGCACCCGTTTCAATCTGGTTAAGGACACCAAGAAATACCGTGCCCTTGCTTCTGTTACAGTAAAATCATGATTGGATTTTTTGGCAGTTTACCAAGCTGCACCCAAAAGATGATGTCAAATTATTTTTCTTCGTTTGTCTGATGCAATCTAACTTATATGCCAGCAAATTGAACATGCCAGCAAAACCTGGTTATTGGGCAATTCTTTAAAAGGAAAAAAAGATTATGAAAAGCAAATGGGAATAGCTTTATTCGTCGTTAATGAAAAAATGATTGCGAAATATAAAAGCCGAAGGGCTCACTAACTCACACAGTTTCTTTTTCTGTGTATTCCTTTGAAGTTTCCTCTAGAATAAAAATTGGAATCTAAAAGGAATTTCAGCTGGTGCATTACAACAAAAATAAAAGAAAACTAACCATTAACTGATCTCGTTAATTTGCATTACATGGAGTTATTTGATAATAACCCCCGTTTACTTTAAGCGCCAACACATTTAAGCATAAACCCATGTCCAAATGTTTTGATTTTCAACGTTAAATTGGTGTATTATGCTGCTAAATTGCAAATTCATGCGAGTTATTTACCTGTTTTTCTATTTTAGTGTTACACACTTTGTACGCACTTTTAAAACGCAATCTTTTGACTTGTCTTAATCGTAGTTATTTAAGTAACATACCAAACTCAATAAAGCAACTTACATGGCTACCTTGGTTAGGCAAAAATAGAAGGCTGGATAACAGGTATCAAGACCACATCGACCATTTAAAGGCAGTAAAATAGTACAACGTACTGGGCTAACGTCTGTAATGTAGAAAATTGGTCTTCTGCATGACTATCATCAATCTCGACTGTAGAGATGAGGACATGGGTAGGCAGCTTCAAGCGTTTGCCAGACAAAACTATCTTTAAAATTTATTGGTTCATTCCCTATTAGTGACTGTTCCACTTTATGCAAATGGCATTACTTAAATTGACAACATTGTACAAAATGTGTGTGTATAGGAAATGCATGAATTGGCCCAAAGTGATTTCATTTCATTTTCAAAGTTACATAATTTCGAGTCGATGTAAGTATAAGCAATGCAATGATGTGCAATGTGGTTGTGACGATTCCCTTCATCTAACCGTACAAAAATGCTGCTTCTATCAGTAAAAATAAGAATAAACTGATTTAAAAGCATGCAGAATATGTGATACCATCATGTTTTGTCGCATAGCAGCCTAAAACATTAGCCTTATTAGATTACGCATTAATTTGGATTTTGAAAGCAAAGTAAATGCATTAAAAAAGATAGTAAACGGGTGTTATGGAAATCTGATCAGATGTTAAATTGACTTATTGAATATGATTTTATTTGAAGATGAACTGAAGGGCATTTTTTAATGATTATGCACGAAATCGGTTCCAAGCAAAAGTGATTTGTAGGTGGAGAGATATCACTGAATGCATGAGTGCTAATCGATGGCTAAGTCATGAGAACTTAAAAAATAAAGACTTTACCAGATTATAGTTCCTACTTTGATTGCGTCTATGTCTAATTGTAAGGATTGATCTCAGATTAGAAGCCAAAAGTAGCGAGGCGATGAAACAGCGCCTAACAGTGCAAGAACACACGTTACTTCCACTGATGTCACATTGAAAGTGTCTTTAATATGCATCTCTTTTAACTGCTCCCGGTTTACAAGGCCACCCCAAGCAAATCATATTGTACACGTCAGAATGCCAAATTGTTTTGATTTTTTCCACTATGTTGATATGCGATTGTCATTAAGAGCGAAAACTCCTACCTTTCCGAGACCCTTTAAAGGCTTCACACGTCTCCCCCAAAACTGAATTCTCCGTCGGTGTAGCTTGAGTCAGGTTACTTATGAGATGCATTCCTCCGTGACTGAACCCTCGTGCAAATGGGCCTCTGAGACAAAAAGCGGCGACCAAGACAAGTGCCAGTATCAAGATGATAATGGAAATAGGAACAAAAATTTTGAGAATAAAAGACAGGTCGCTAAATGAGGCTCCATCACCTGCAGGAAAAGGAGAGGGGTCCCGCAGGATGGCGTGCACGTCTCCGTAATGGCCAAAACCAAATTCCTCGGGCCGTGGGACTCGCAAGATGCGAATCGGACTGACGTATGAAATGGAGGAGCTCGTCGCTAGTACAATCCGCATATCGTATTCCTCACCTTAGACGAAAGATGAAGTACTTCACTGAATAAAAAGAACTTTAAGCGTATTCTGATTTATGCTGCATTAGATTTACAAGTTTACAGCCTTAAAACTTTCAGGAGATTGTTAAAAAGAGTTGAAGAATCTACATTTAGATGATTTCACTTGTAAATTTAATATAAGCAGAACATATCTGCTCATAAACAGTGATGTTGTAACTGAGTGAATTTAGGTAAGTTGCTTAAGTCTTGAAATTGCAGACCTAAGGCACAAATCCCGGCACCGGTGTCTATCAACAAGTTAAAATCAACAAATTTATTAGTGATGTAAAGGAGACGATTTAATTGGGTTCCTAAACCAGTCTTTTGTCAATTATATCGTTGTGTGAAAGTGCGCTGGAGAGCTTGAAAGCTTGGGGCCGACTGTATATGCGTTTACCTATTCATGCCTTGCTGCCATGCTGTTACTGAAATTGGCATAAGCTGGGCCGATTCCTGGGTTGACTGGATCTGCAAAACCGGTTAATTTAGTGAGAACAGAAGTCTTCAAGTGTCATCAAGGTTTCTTAGTGAGTGGTGGATCGATCAAGTCGATGAATTGAGCTACAACATCTATCAGCATCAATGCGACATCAAGGAAATACTTGGGAGAAAAGGTAGCAATTTTCTGGATGCGAAAATGAGCTTCGATTTTCATAAACCATACACGGTCGTTTGAACTGTACTAATAAATTTGATGGACGCTGTTTTCCGAATAGGTGTCAGCTATAGAAGTCGTTGCTAACAAAAGAGAGAACTGTAGGAACTCCAACTGAGGTTACTGCTCAAAGTAGCATTGTTGTACTATCTCAAATGCCTGCTAATGTACCCAACGTGGCGCGTAAAAACAAACAGAATACAGCCGTTTGTTCGCCCGTTGGCATGTTAGATCTTTGTGTATGAAGAGGTCAGAGTGAGTGGAATACACAACTCTGTCTACATTCGCAGTGGGAGACTGGTGACACAGCCTCTACGCGCTCTTCCGTCCAACAGCTTGAACGCTACAAAAAATATTTGCGGAATTTGCATCCACTTTACATGTGTTAGCGGGAAACAGGGCAAGTAATCTAACGTTAATTACTAATAAATGGAACAATAGTTAGTTGACAAGTTCACAGGGCAGGAAATATTCATTCACTGCAGATGTGTTTCGAGTCCGGGTTATTTTGCGCCAACAACTCCAATGTGCAGAGATTGGGAAAAAACTCTACACGAGAGTTTCAAGAAACATTTACCAATGACGATGGTTAACTTGAAGACAACAAATGATCAAAAAAGTTTTGGTAAGATCCCTTTTTGCAAAATACAATTCAATTTTTTCGTTCTTCATCACGTTTGGTGTTTTAATACTGTTGAATTGTCGTAGCAGCCTTAAAAACAGTTAAATGTGATTAATTAAAGGCAAACCAATAGTGCCAGTAGCAGTAAATGTTTATAATGGTCTGAGACCTCTGAGCTTAAATTCACGTCACATAACTCAATATCTAATTCAGCTTATTTACCCGGAACCAGGTTGCTAATTATTTGCCAGTCTTTGGTCAGTTCCTTTTCTGTCTCTTCCCAATGTTCATCCTGTAGTTTTTTGAACTGAACCAGAAAAGCCCAGAATCCGATCCTGGTCCCACTGACTGATGATTGTTCGACATCGGTGAGCGTGTCGTCTCGCTGTATCGCTAGGTGCTGATTTTCATCGCTCCGCCTGTACAATGAATCGGTCGATTGGACGAGGCTGACGTTTAGTAAATTGGTTGAGCCATATATAGGAGACACCCCGAATTCTATACTGGATTTGGCTGGAATATGACAGAAGTAAACATAGAAACACTGCAGCTGCAATTTGTTTCAAAAGGCCTCTGTCGACGCTGTGGCACTCGTCTTTTGACAGATGTCACTTGTAGCTTACTTTAGAGTAAATTACCCGTAATATTGTCATCAACTGTTCTCTCAGAGTTTATTTTAACGTGGGATACAGGAACGAACAGTTTCGACATTTTATCTGTGTATATCTGTGAACGCAAAGATCAAAATGGATATTAAAAATTCCCATTCTAAGAGGTTTTTTTAAACTAAGATTGACCAGTCCACTACTCGAACCTCTGAGGCTGATGCCTACCTAGTCGGCATTTTAATCAAATCTGATCGTGGGCATGTAATTGTGTGGAAGGTGGTAAAGAAGTTCCTAAATGCGTTACCTACACAAACGCAGATCCGATAAAATGTCTTTGACTTGACACTAGGCTTGATATTTTGGATCCCCCTGAATTAGAAAACATTTAGTTAACAGGACTACTCAATGTTTACTGAATGAGTGTCAAACTCAAGTAAATCGTTGCTTTCCTCAAACGTTTCATCATTAGTCATGCAACGTGGATTGACACCAATATAATCAGTGGAAAGCGATTATGGTGCAAACGTGCTGAACTACCCCGAGCCGTCGACTTATTGGAATTGCAAAGATGTGAGCTTCGAATTGCCGCCAAGAATCCAAGCGGTCAATTCATGTATTTGCCAACAACTCATAATGAAAACGAAGCAAACGACTAGAGAAAAAAGGACTAGAATTGTCACGTCGCAAGGAAAATGCGCTCAACCAGGACATGGCATGGCCTAACACGTGTCAGGTAACTGGAGGAGAAGCATCGGTGCTTGGTTGGGGAGCAGTGCTGTCGCACGTCTCTCTTGCGTAGCCCTGGCTTTGCTCTACTAGAAGAGCCCTTGATTCACAACGACGCTGACCTGAAACTATGCTTGGCAAATTTTTTTTATGCAAAGGTTTTGAGCAGTAAGTTGCACCTAAAAACCAGTATGAGACCATTTTTACGTAATGCGATTAGCCTGTGAAGAAAATTGAACACCAACCACCTGGTTTTTCGTGTGTTAACGAAGCAACCGGCACTTTTGGTATTCCGATTTGATAGGCATTTGTATTAACTGTTACAACTAATACAGAAGAGGTTGGGAGGCACATAAGTCTTCTTTGAATCAAAAATGCGTATTCCAAACCAACTACGAATTTATGTGCTGTCTGACGATGACAGTAAAATCTTTTGCCTGAAGAATCTTGGGTTTTATTGTCGAAAACGCTATTTAACATTTCCTTTGTGCAACCATTTTTGAGTCGGTAAGTTGAACAAAGCGCTCCAAATATGGCAGTAAACAGTGAATCTAATGCCATTTTTAATACATAAAAAACATGAGCAACAAATTTACTAACAAGTTTTTACTACTTTCGCTGAATGCCCTGAGAAAATATATGAACTAAGTTAGGATCTAATACTAAAATTTTGCGTCTTTTTCTCGATCAAGTATCTGGGTTGGTTCGAAATCGTTCGAAGATAGTAGCAGTTCATACCGTCTATGCCAGTTTTATTTTGCGGAAGTTAACAGAAGTTAATTTTCTTGGGAAAACTACAATGGTTTCGGCTCAGTGATTTCGACCACGTAGAAACCAGTCAAATTTGTGAGCTATGAAACGCAGTGCTTTAGAAAAAACTAAAAAAACAAACTACACAGGAAAGATTGTAAGACCAAGGTTTGAACGAAGAATTGTCCCGCCAAATGGCGAAACCCACTCTTAATGATTGCAATTAACAAGGTCCCACAGACGACGACATCCTCCAAGCACCGGCATTGCTTGCGTAAAAACTCGACTTGTTGAAAAAGTTAATGAATCAAAACAAAAGGGGCTGACAAGCTTATATCCAGGACGAAATTCAGGACGGTGTATACGCATGAGGCTAATTATTTTAGCAAACAACGGACTTCTGTAAGAATGATAAGTCCGCAACCTTCGAAAATAGGAATAAATTAGATCATCAGTCATAACAAAGTTGGTGTCCATGACACATGACGAAGTCACATCGGCATGCTGAAGTTTTTGGTGGTGCCACGGTAACAACAAGATCATCGTTCAATTTCTCGACATTAAGTCCTGTACAATTAGCAAATTTTATATTAAATTGGCGTGGACTTGTGAGTATGCACGTTGGGCCTGCCCAAATCGACCCAACAACAACGAATATGGAAGGATGTACATTCTGATCTGTGTTACTGCATTGTACTACACCATACGGATAGCCTCACACCCTCTTGAAAATTTGTCATTTTCGGCCGCAGGATCTTCTCAAATGATCCTTGTAGACTTTTTGCTTTAAAACTAGCAAACCACGTTGATTTAGGAGTTTATTTAATCGTCAGCACCAGAAAAACTGCACAAGAGAAATTAATGCAGAAATGAGCCAACAGTACTTGTTTTAATAAAGATGGTATGGGATGGTCTGTCATTTCACTCTTAACAATTTTGTCAATGTGAACTACCATCAATTTTACGTGTTCAAAGGTGTGAGCCCACAACGACGGAATATTAATTAAGCGGTATATGTGATGAGTTCATTATTTTGAATAACTATTCTGATTTCCGTAACAATATATATTGTGAAGTACGGTTAAATCGAGGTAAAAGCACAGCATAATTTAGTACATCAAATTAAGATATAAATAAATGTGCAGTTAATATATTTAAAAATGGTGACCAACTTAGTATTTGTTTCGCCGTGTGGACTTTCAGTTCCCGTGATTTGCCTGCACCAACAGCGGTTAGGGCACTGATTACCAGTTTGTAGGATGAGTTAATCTCCAGCCCTGAAATGCGAGCTGCCATCTGATCGGGATCAGAAATCGTCGTTTGGTACAGTTGACTATTACCACCAGTCTCTTTGGAATCGTCCTCGTCAGTTCCTGCGTGTAAATCAATGGAAATTGAATGACATGAAAATGCACTTTTAAAAGCATATAAACCAATGGAAATAGTTCATGAGGCAGTTGTGCATTAGAGGAATTTTGTGGTGAAGTCATTTCGGCTTAAGCAGTGGATCATTAAGAAAATTGGGTTATATGAGAAATTGATCAGTGGAAATCTTTCACCGTGTCTTTCACCAACACGCGATTGTGCTTGCTGCGTGTTCTCATAAAGAAAGCAAACTGACGTCCAGGGTCAATTTTAGTCTAGGAAAAAGCACCTTTGAGCCCCAGTCACAAAAGGCTGTCAGTTTTTCCTATGGCCACAGTTCAATTTAGAGCAGGCCTCAGCATACTTTTGTTATCATTATCTGACAAAGGCAAGTGGGGAACATATACAAAAATATTAATGCTGATTACTTAAACCACAAATTACGCCTTCACTTATGAATGATGCGCATAGTTCTTGGTGATCGCACACTCGTTCACATGTAATTTTATTGGTTTTGGATTTTCACGTGTCGCGTAAATCAAAATGAAGACTCAGCAGAAATATCACAGTAATAATGACTCCAAACTTAATAAAAAACATTTGCTGAAATCTTTGATAGGTATAATTCTAACTTGACTAAATCCTAATGTTGTTTGGTTGCTGTCTCGTACCAAAAATGGGTTGTGAAATTTTTATCTGTTACTTTTACTTGACACATCATGCTGAAATGTTATTTGTGGCCAATATTCAACCGGGTTAATGCGTTTCGGCAGATCTGGAATTTTAGCTTGCACTACGTTAAAAATTCCACTAGCTAATAGACCGCGACAATCCAAAACGAGACAAGGCAGGCGACAACGGTAGGCAAGGCAAGTTTCATTGAGTGGGGATTGTCGAGGGCGCGTAAACAATAACCACAGAAAAGTTAGGATGAGTCATTAACCTCAATCAACATATGAACGAGCTTCGTTAATGCGCGTTCGCTGACATCCACTAGAGATTCGTGGATATCTTTATACCTTGATGGCGGTACACAATTATCATCTTGTTTGATTCAGGATTTAAACCACTTTCCTGGATGTAACCATTTTCGTTCGGCCTTCATGTATTACAGCAAGGTTCCCTCCGCATATCTAGGCAACGATAATCTCACCCTACACTCTCCCGCATTTCCATTTTCCCTACTTCCCTCTTCGGTAGACCACTGAGACCCCTTGCCCCTTTAGCTGATGCGGCATAACAGTTCTCGGGTGTTTACTGAGCCTCACAATCAAAACCTTCGGGAAAGGAGTGGGCAAATATTTGCAGTAAACAGTGAACACGCGTGAGTGAAACCCGTTCACTAGTCGTTGTTCACATGACCGCAAGAGTCACGTCCAAGGGCCCTCCCCTAATAACAATTGCCTGACCAAACGCGAACTAAACGTTCGTCTCCGGTGTCACTTGTCCCTATTTTGGGGTTGTTACGGTCAGATAATTAGCAGTTCTAAGGTAGTGGAAGCTGACACTACAGATCAACATGTATCATCCGTGTGAAATCATAAAACACAGGTTACGACATTATCATACCTAGAAGGCCATAGTGATCTGCTTTAGATTAAGATCTGCAAAATTCGGTCGCAATACCATTAGAACACATAATTCAAAAAAGTCTCTGTAGGCTGTTAAGACACGAATCGCATGTTATGCTGCACTAACTAGGTGAGCTAGATTTTGTCGAAAGCTTTGAAAAGGGCAAAGTTGCCAGGCTTGAAATATCACAAAACCACCTGCAACACTTTCCTTACCGCTTGCACAGTAAATCAAGAACAGGGCGACTTTGGAAGTCACTCTCATTACCGAGGAGCCATCGTGGGTGAACTGATGTTGTACCGTTTCAAGTGTGGTAAGGCCAGGTCAAAATACTGGCCTTTACAATTTAAAAGATGATAAAGAATAAGTCCTGAGTAAACTTAGAGTGGACAGGGTTTTTATGGCATTCAATATTGTTTAGACAACCATGTGATAGATGCTCTCTTACTTTTGTAGCTTTGCCAAAATTAAGATCAGGTAAGCAGAAACAGCAGCCTTCAAATTGCAATCTGCCTAGCACAATTATTTTTCTCTTTGTGACGCTTTAAATGTCAGGTTTTCTCATCTCTACACGTAAACATGCACGAAAAGAGCACGAGGCAGACTGCCTGTGTCTCGCACCTGGAAGGACGTCGATGACGTAGCCCGTGAGAATACCATTGGTATGGAGGGGTTTGGCCCACGCAACTTCAACGTAGTCGACTCCTGAAAAAGAATGCGTAAATTCGCCCACTGCTCCCGGAACACCCTCCTTTGTATGAATGTGGAGAATTTCACTACAACCAAGAATTGGGATAAAGAGAGGTAAATCGGTGTTACTAAGTGGGAGCATTATTTAAGCGATGGTATGGAATGGATAAAATTTACACTTCTTTCAATATATCTACCCAGGAAAAGCTCGCCATGTTTCAATCTGACGCAATAATTTGAGTTGTCAATTCCCAACAGACTACTGAAGCACTGTAGTGTTGCCGGCAACCGCTTTTTGGGGCTTCGAATGCTACTGGTTGCCTTCGTCACTAAAAACGCATTCAGGCTGCTGAATCAAGCATTTTTTTTACATTTGCGGTGTTTTACATTGAAAGGGTTGATTTACACCCTAAACCGACTGAGATTCTATCTGTACCGGGAATGAATCGCTCATCCGACAAATTATTCCTCAGAGGTGTAGACAGCGCTTTGTCTAAAACCATAAATGACTTTCACGATAATTACAGAAGTGTTTAACATCAATTAAGCTGCTCATTCTCTGGGCGTTTCATGGTTTCATGACTCTTTGGCAGACGTGGAAGTTACTCCTAATTTGTGGGTGTTGAAGAAAATTTTTGTATACTTAGAACGTGTTTCAGGTTGCGTTTACGGAAAGCAAATTAAGTGACAGAGTGAAAAAGTTAACCATCATTAAGGCTAATCGGCGTCAGGTTGTTCATCATGAGGCTAAACAATTTTACCAAGTTCAAATTGAGTTATTATTATTATTGTCACAATAAAAATCATCGAATGACCCATAAAAATAGGGTAAAAAATACATTAAATGTTATTTAATGTCTCCAGAGTGTCATTAATTCCAGAAAATCATTTCCATAATGTGGCAAGCTATTGGGGACACTTGAAACAAATTAATGTGCCATTCCGGACAGTCCCTCAACACTTAAATCGCCTGTTTTCCGGGGGCAAACTTGCGGCTTATCAAATTTCTCCTTCATGATAATGTTAAAGAATTGAACTACCTGTTCTGTGAAAACGTGACAACTTTAACTGATTGCTTGACCAAATTCTACCACAACATTAGTCTTGGCAATTTAATGCCACGTCTTGTAAAGGAAAAAATCTGCTTAAAATCTACTATCGTAAATAACTTCGTGGTTATTATATAGTAAATTAAAGTCCAAATTATCCGATTTGTTGTGGCAGTAGAATGCCAACAATTAAATAACCTTTTGCTTAGATTGTTTGTTTACGCCATCAATGATCAAGAAAAGTAAAATGGAAGTTAGTCCAAGCCTCATAGCAAATTGCCAGTCAAGTTAAAATCAATCCTCACGTAAATGTTTATGTTAAAATTAAACACACCCTTGGTTGAAGCAAATTGAAAAGACCCCATGTCTAGTTATAAGTGACATACAGTACAGTGAGAGTATTTTTAAATTAAAGAACATTGACAGGGGAGGCAGCACAACCAACCAACAAACCAACTGGTCCAAACGCAACGCGGCACCATTTTGCGCCTTAGGAGCTTTCTTGGGAACGCCGCAAAGTTAACACTTGGGTCTTCAGAAATTATTTGCCAAATTAAGATACATATTTCAAAACAATGTTTACTAAGAAATTAAATCGTTTAAATATTTTTGTGGTAATTTGACTGAAGTTTTTACACGGTAGAATTAGTCGCAGGTCCCTATGGCTCTGTCACACAAAGATATCAGTTTGGTCCCATCAGTCAAACCAACACAAAACGCGAATCCAAACACACTTGGCTTCTTCGGAGTTGCAAAGTACCTGCTAGGACCCTCGTATTGGATATTCAAAAGGCGAATCCACACATGGAGATGGCTTAGACCGGGCAAATCCCGAAGAACGGCACGTCTATGCTGAGGGAATGCTCCTGGTGTAGATGCTGGATTTTGGCTTTCGGTTTGACCTGCTAAAAGGGAGTTTGCGTAATGGCTCCTGGATTTTGACCTGGCAGGGCCAGTCCGCAGGCTGGGGTGAAGCTCCTTGGGCGGATCGACAAGCACCAAGTCCTGCAAAGTGGAAAGAGGATAAAAACGTGGCCTTAGCAGGTTTCCAACAAAAACATCTACTTTTGGGAGAGATGAATTATTGGCATTGTTCTGTTGAGAGAAGACACTTAATTCAAAATCTTATGGTCTTGTCAATGCAAGAATGTCAACCGTGTTCCGCAATCACAAAACAAAGAGCCACATTTTATAAATTGTTTAGCATTTGAACAATTGAACTCTTTCTCCGACAATCTGTAAAGCCATCAAAAAAGCCGCTTATGACTAATAAAAGGTTAAGCTCGTCACAGTTCTTTAATCCCAGACATGCAGAAATTTTCAGTAGTCAGATTAAAGTCATTAAGTCTAGAATTCGCTATCGTTTGGCCATTTTCCCTTCAGAAATGAGCATATAAGGAATTCTTTTTCGTGAAACTTGTGACTGCAGCTAAACTAACGCCCGTTTAGTGCTTCTTTACCTAGGCCGAAGCCGGCAAATTTAGGTATCACTTAAGTCCGCTTAAACTGTTTAGTTAATCGGTGACAAATACTCAAACCTGCTGAACTATCTCTAATTATTTAAATAACCACCATTAATTCTACACCTGTTGTTTTAATGATTTCCCTCTTGGGTGATTCTAGCAAGTACTCAAGTTTTCATTTTACCGCCCTCAGTAGTTCCATAATGAGTAAATAGGAATTATAACCCAGAAATCTCTTCTTCATCGCAATCGCGAAATTGACTTGTGTAAACAAGATTGCTATCAAAACTACTTGATATCCTCGAAAATATTTGCATTTCACAGTCAGAGTAATACAGATCAATGTCAGTGTGCTAAATAGCTCGGAAATCCCCCAGTGGATTATCTATGGGGATGGAGTCTGCCATGTAGAAGTCGTAGCAATGCTTTGGTATTCTTCGAAGGTTATCTGTAGGCACTCCGTTAGTGGCTCACCTTTTGCGAAGGACCGCAGCAAAATCTTGCCCTAACATTTTTTTGAGGGAATTAACTGGTGCTTTGTACCAAAATAAAACACATCTTAAGCGCCCTCATGTCATCATCGGGTAAAACATCAAGGGTGAATCATATTTTTGATGCTGACATGGCTTAAAAATCGCTTCTAATTTAGAAAACAGCCTAAAGTCATTTGACTGTGGGTTCGGCTCACCCTAGGGAGCTACCACAAATCTCATCAAATAGTATTTTACCTCTAAAGTATATGTAGGAAAGTGGCTTCGTGGTAAGTGGCTTCGCATGGCCCGAAATAATTTCAAATCAGCATGTGTTTGTGCTGCGATCATCATAACGTTCATTTAGGGTCGGACGAAATTGTTTTGCTAGTCGATTAAAATTGGTACGACATTTGAATTTTCATACCTTAAAGATTGTAGGAGTGAGACCACGACGGAGTCACCAACATGCTGATACCTAGTAATCTCTACCCAACCTTTGCTTCTCACCATTCCTTCCTGTGTTTTTAACATAAAAACCGGAACAATTCCTGGAGCTCCCTGGTGGCATATAAAATGTTAAAAGGCGAACAATGTTGGAAAGTTCTGGTATCATATAGCTTTCAGTAATATTAATCGACACACTTATTCTGACCCATCACCGATAAGTACGTTAATTCAAACGCCAATGTGACAGTAATATTTTATTATAAATAACCGTGTCTTCTTGCTTTTGTTGTTGTTAACAGATTCCTGAAAAAAAAGGGAACCCTGAAAACAAGTTGGCATTAATGAACCCACCTCAACGACTTTATATCGATCGCACATGTGCTGTTTCTCAGCAAGGCACCATTCAATGCGAAGACCGACGAAAAATCCGTTAAGCCCCTTTGAATTCTCTGTTGGCCACTCCCACTCAAGCTCCGCCGACGAAGCCCCAATGCGGATTGCTCGCAGTCGGTGCGGGGCTATTGAGGGCGGGGCTTCCGCCGACCATCCTGTGGAAATCAAGCTCCCTGCTTTGCTGAAACCCAGTGCGTTTGAGGTGGTTATACTTACCTGGAAGAAAAACTCTGTTTCGGGGTATGACGTGTGATATTAATACTGCATGAGGGCTAACAGGTACCACTTTGTTTGATACATATTTGATATCACACCAGCTTCAAGCAGCTGCTCGTGATGGGATTCATGAGTGAAGTAAACTATGCCATCAGTGTAAGCGTGTGCAAAGAACAGCAACGAATGAATAAAAGCTGTTAATGTAAAGCAAATTGTACTTTGACGTGAATTTTCTATGTATGTAGGAGTTAGTACAAGGCCATTTTATTGGTGATCCAAATAATGGTCAAACACTGGTCATGGCGACCAAATTTTGACGCCTTCCAGTTTCAATAAAAGGGAGCTGATTTTAACTCTTCCTTTCAATCTTAAATTGACATCACCTGGACTTTGATTGCTCCCTCTCATTAAAGAGAACTTAAGGTAGGGGTAGATAAGGTAAAGACTGGTCCCCTGAATCCTATCGATGGTAGTTAAACTAATAGCAGATCGTAGTAGTAATCATGCTAATTATGGAAAAACCTGAGGTTTGACATTGGGACACATGACACTTAACCACAATTTTCAGGGATAGGACTAAACGTCGTCCGAATCCCGTCAGGAACACACCTCGGTCTCTAATGAGGTGGGGAAAACAGCATACTTCAAGTACTGAGTTCACCTTGTCCAATGAAACGCTGTTCGTTCCGTAGTATGATGCCAGAGTGTTGTTCATAACTATGCGCATTATGTTGCGCGACATCGAGTGGTGAAGTGAGTGTGGAGGCACAACATCGTAGCCGATTCTGTAAGCAAACACTTCCGAAAATTCTTCGACCTTGATTTATGCTCTCAGCACAGGTCAGAGAGAATTACAATTCTACCATGAAAACTTTTGTATTGCAGAGGATTTATCCAGAGTCAATCTGGATACAGTTAAATAGAAAGAATGAATCAAAACTCATTGCCATTGGTGCGGGTGTGAAAGTCGTTGGATAATGTCTGAGTTGTGTCTTCAACGAATGAAATTAAGTTATTTTACTTCAGTTGTCATCTTCCCTGATACCACATTTCGTAAGACATAACAAGACTGAGTGAAAACTTAAGGCGACTTTGGTAGTTTGCATCAAATGCCAAATGTCGAAAGTGTCTCAAAAGAAGCAACAGCACAAAATGTAAGCTGTTGTTACGAAGAGGGATGCACAATTTCTCAATTACGAATAAGTCGTTAGTCAATAAATTGCAGAAAAGAGTTAAAAACATTTTCCAGGATCAAAGAATAAATTACATGGAAAGAACGAAACCACTTGTGACTCGCTCGTCTAGCCCTTGATTCTAAAGACCTGAGATGCTAGCTCTCGTGACCGTACTAGCGAAATTTTCACAAACTTTGGATTGCAATGCTTCTTTTGCTTTTAATGTCACGATTTGTTGTCATGCTTGCTAGACGCCAATCTCTTGCATTATTAATTCATAGAGTATAGTAAGTGTTAGCATGGCCGGCAAAAAGAACCTGTATATGTTACATAACTGGGTGTTTAAAAATGAACACTATCATGAGTATATCACTCGTCAAAGACAGAAATTAGTAAATTTAGACAATTGTACAAAAATACGCATTTCACAGCCCCACACTGATGTCCCTTCAGTTTTTTGGGTCGGCGGCGAATCCATTCTCAAACAACACAGGTATTAGCTTTGCTTCACTCGGTATATTGCGTTTGTGGTAGGCTTTAGCTCCCTTGGACAATTCTTCAAATGCTCTCAGCTATCAATGGCTTATCGTGCAGCTCCAAGCTTAACTGTTGGTGGAAAGTGTGAAATACCGACTAATGCTTGCTGCATGTTTGAACTATTTAACAGTGAATTGGAGTATTGATAGATTAGGTTTTGCATAGACGCCATAATTCTGAGGTACGTTCCCCCTTGCTTAATTCATGACTAGTAGCTATTTTGATTTGCTGTCTCTATTTAAGAGAAACATCCAAGTTAGGGTGTTCGTTGTGAAAGTGACTAGGCTACGGCGAATCAGCATTTTCACTTGGGTTCTTAATGTCAGGGCTATTAGTTTTAAAAGAAGCATCAAAAGAGCGCTGCTACAAAACGAAACAGAAAAATTGATAAGCGCATAGATTCAAAAAAAGAAATTATTTGCATTCCTCTTGCGGTTGAAAACGTATACCCTGATATCATCACTTGTGAGCAGAAAAAGATATAAACCTTAACAAAACGCGCGTACCGTATACTGCTTAAATATTTCGACAGGCCACTGATGTTGACCGAGGGTGTCGGAGACAGGGATGGTTGTAAATACAAATCGGCTCTGATTCCAGTTGGATACAACGGTCTCGTTTACTAGACCATTGTAGTAAACGCCGTGGTCGCAATTGAGGCATCTTATCAGTAAGTGGTACCTCAAGCCTGGGCCATTGTGGTGAATCGGAGCGATTGGCTAAGAAATATCAAAATGAAAGTTCCGATGATCAAGGTTCCTTATTTAAACTTGAAATTTAATTACTGCTGGTTGGCTATAAGGAATACCTGCAGCGGGTTATGAGCGATTGTGCGTGAGTGAAGCCTGATCCGAAGGTGTTAATGACTCATCCCTATGCCATTGGTTACTGTTATCAGACGCCTGTCATCCCTTCACTCATCCGCACACACACACACACACACACTTGGTTGGCTTAACGCTAATAAGCTTCCTTTCTCGAGTTATTACGGCCAGTTAAACAGATGGTTGTAAGGTGGTGTAAACATGATATTACAAGTAAATATAAGTAAAACTACGTTTTTTGTTGAATGGCTGGCAAAATTTATATAAAATTAAAAGAATTTTGCAAAAAAAGCTGACTGAGAGTTGGCAAGGGAATCAGCAAAACATTATGATTATTCAGGGTGAAATTGTTGGAACGAAATATACCTTTTTAAAAATAAGTTTTGACACACAACATAAGTAAGGAATTTTATAACAGAGAGAAGTAAAAGGTGAATTTAAGCAAATGAATACTAGTTTGGAAAAAACTGATGTGCAACGGACACTACATGTAATGTTATTTCAAGGTCCCTTAAAGTAATGTTTACTTCGCAGAGCACTGTGTGTAGCCCAGTCTTGTATTAAATAAACTTTTTTGGGTTTTAAAACAACTATGAGCTACTGAAATTAAAAATAAATTTAAGCATTAAAAGGAACAAAAAGGAATTGGAAAAAAACTAACGTGATGTGGATATTTTCTAATAGTAAAATAGTGTGAACCAACAACATTAGTGTGCATGTTATAAAAATTTTGACAATCTGCTAAGAAAAAGAGTTAGCTGTGCTGTTTAAGAACAGCCACTTAAGAGGCTAAAGCAAACTTTTCGAGAAATTACATCGAGTCAGAAGTATCAAAAGATCAAAAACAGGTGTGTAGATCAGACCAACCTTTTTGACTCAAAACGCAGACCATGATATCATAGTTTAAGCTGCGATCTTTAAAACATCATGATCTGCCTTGCAGTCCACGTGCCTGCGAACCTCAAAATAACACTTATGGGCGTAAATTCAACTAACTAATGAGTAAGTCACCATGGTTAACAAATAATCTCAAACACGCAAAATTTGAAATGTCCTTTTAGGTACAAGCAAGCAACCCAAATCTGCAAGTAGTAGAAAATGCAATAGAAAGTGTAGGTGCTTCCCAAGGGAAAAACCTGAATCCTTTAATTCGTCAGAGTAATACGGGGAATTCTGGAAAAACTGATGCTTTTGATTCAAAACCCGCACAGGACATGGGGAATTCTCCAACCACCAGGGCCATGTTTCGCGCCTTATTCTCTATCCATTGGACGCTATGCGAGACGCATATAATATTTTTGACTAACTGATTTTCAACATGAACGCATTTTACGGCTTGATTTTAAACAGGCTTTTGGATTGTAGATACTCACTAGTAATCTAAACAGATGAGTTGTATATTTTTGAAAGATGATGCGTTATTTACATTGACATAAAGGCCAGAAAATTGATCGATTTTTATTTAAGAAATATGCTACGTGTACTGTCTACAAGGAATTCTGCTCAAATGACCTTGTAGGTTGACATAAAGGGCCCTGATATCAAATTTTCAACAGGATTGCTATTCATATGGCAGCAACAAATTTAATGGCAGTTGCCGTAAGTCTCCAGTCAACAGTAAATTTTAATGTCCAGAAAAGCAATGATTTGATGTACCAAATATCTCGTACAGTATCCAATTACTTCTAAAGCGAGACGCAACAACCTAAAATGCAAGTAAAACTTTTAAGGAAAATTATTTTATATTTACTAGATCCATTTCTAAGTCATATGAGGAAACTATACAATTTGGAAGCAGATTAATTGTCAAATCAGTGTTAAAACAATTTTAAAACTCCAGAATTAAAAAGAATCCCAATAATTTAGCTAACATTATTTATTTTTGAGGTTTCTTACAAAAATTTGGACAGTTCTAGTGCCTGCTTGAATAAATAATAAAGAGATGCCCTTATGAATACGTTGCAGGATCACTTTAGCATCAATTTTCCCATTTGAAAAAAAGGATCAGCCTTGTTAGTTTTGGCAGACTGCAAAAACGAAATCGTAATTCGACAATTGAAAATTGAACATTATGGACTATTTTTTTACTATAAATTATTGCTTAGTGAAGAATCGTTTAACCAAATTTTACAAACTGATGGAAAAGTTTACGAAAGTCAAAAACCACTTGTAAACCAATATTTGGAAAAAAAACTTTTTAACCACAAAGTAAAAAAACCTTGGGAGTGGCTTCCGATTTGCACGTTGAATATTCTGACAGAACACTGTACCCCAGTTTCACAAAATAAAAAGTTCGCCCTTGCTTATCCAACATGTGCTGACCAAATACAAGACATAATAGTCAATTTTTCAAAGAAACTGCTTCTTGAATGAATTTAAACACAAACTGATGTCTGGATTGTAACGTGGCTTAGAATTCTAGAGAACTTCCAAATTTTCAAGTGAAGAATCAGAAGTTTGCATTGTTTGATCAACTTATAATTTAAAGTGCCTATATGAAAAGTTACGGTTTAAAGCGTTCATTTCAAAATCAACCCGCTTCTTGATGACTCAGACTTTTCTCCAAACGAGAAATTAATTCAAAATGGCTGGAAGTGAAGCAACTTGCAAAACAAGTTCGATGATTGGGGAGCAAAACGTTTCTGGCGTGATTCTTCTATAAAAACAACACCAATAGCATTGAATACAATTTTGTCTGCAACCTATGCCTAAAAAACTATAAAAGGGCTTTTTCTTGATGCAATTTTTTTCCTAATTTGCTTTGAAATAATCAGATACAACAGCAAAAGGACATATTTATCCAAAATATATGACAGAGGTAAAAAACTTGCAAACAGATGACCTACTTGGCTCAGTTGAGCGATTAATGCTTTTGGCCAGTACCTTATCTGCTTCCTTGCCATCGTAGTAAAGTGGGAGACAAAAGACGTGGTGCCTTTGTCTCCGCAATGACGATTAGTTTCAGCTGGTTCATTTTGCCGATGCAATTTGCATAACTCTAGGACAACTCTGTTTAAAAAAAGACCCATGCAAAAATACTTCACTTTACGTACTGGGACAGATCGCTTTCCAGTGTTTGGCAAAAAACGCCTAGTTTGTAATAGGGTCTTCCACACACGTACTTTCAGCTCCTTATTTAACTAGTGTGGTTTTATATTTCCCGAAACTGCTGTATCGACGCCCTTAAGAGATCTTATCATATGATTTAATTCATGCAGATATTCATTCTTTTACTATAAAAGAATTACAAAAACCACACATAGACAAGAATAGTAAAATTGGTTTGCAGTAACCAAGCTATTTAATTGAAAAACTGTACCTTCCATACAGCAGTCACAGTGTTTGGTACGTTTCCGTAGACATGTAGCTCCTCTGGTCTTACATTTGGTGGTTGTGGTTTAAGCAAACAGCGCTTCTGCTTCTCCTCGTCTGGTCCTGGTGCTGTGGGTCCTGGTAGTGAGATCCCAATGCTGTTCACCAATCTTATACGAAATTGATAAGCGACATCAGGATGAATGGGGACTACTGCCAAACCCCGAGTTAAATTGACCAGCGCAACATCGCCATCATGTGGATGAACTACCGTCAAACTATGATTCATAGTTCTCCACTCTTTTCTGCGGAGATTCGTGCTGAGAGCTTGAAAGATAGCTGCTGTGTTGTGGGAAGTGAAGGAAGGAGTTGCTAATGGCTGACCATTGCCAAGAGGACGATAAAACCCCACGACGTATTCAATTTGGACGTCGCTAAGGGGGGCGTTGTTGTCGCAACCAGGCGTCCAGGAGAGTACAGTAGTTCTCTTCTTAGGTGTCAGTGTACAGTCAAGAGTAGTGGAAGCAGGTGGATCAGGAGGTCCTAAGTCGTTAATGAGGGGCCTTAAGCCACACCTTATATTATCAAACTCTTTATTTAGTTGCAAATTAGCTCGTCATTTTACGTACACACCAAACTAGAATAAGATTGACGTGTGGTTGCAATATCAACAGTTCGACTATATTTACGTAAAACGTGATTATTTGAACAATGCTATTTTAAAATCACTTTATATTTTAGAACGATAATAGGCAAAGTGAGAAATATATGCATGAAAGTAGCTAGGCACCACTACAGGGGGTTTTCGGAGGTTACTCAGGAGAATGATAGGTGCTTTAAACCAAGATTCTATGAAAACACCGGTGAAATTGATTTCGAGAACTAATAGAGCCTGGACTTTAACGCATGGAGGAAAAAACGAAGTAAACTCACTACCTATATACTGTTTTTTGAATGCCAAATGTTGACAACGCGAGGTGGGTTTTGTCATCAGCTTTTCACTAAACCTCAGCCTCATAGAAAGATGGACTATTTAATGACATAGTTTTGTTCAAGAAGGTTCATTAATTAGTGGAAGTGGCCCTCATTCAATTGTTTTTAGGCAAATCAAGATCCACATTTCCCATAATTAACTCCGCTAAAATTCTAAAGCACCTAGATTATGTGGAATTTAAGTGGCTACTTATGAAGCCTTCTCATTTAACGGGCCTGTAGAGGCCTAAATTAGCACTACCGCAAAACCCTATAGATAACAGCCGGTCGCAACCCGAGGAGAGAGAAGACAGAGTCGAAAGAGACCACGACCGTTTATTCACGTTACGCCAGTCAAGTAGAGTCGAGTAAAATCAAGTAACTAACTTCTGTGTGCGTTTATGTAGCTTTGCTAAGCATCGATCCCTGAACGAGTGGAGGTCCGTTAAGTGCGTTCACGAAAATCAATTGAATCGATTGAATCGTGTTCGTTTAAGCTTGCTAACTGCGTTTGCGCAAGACTGCCAACTGTGCTCGCCACAGGCCATCTGAAATACCCAGATATGCCCTCAGAGTGTACCCATTGCTTACTTTGCAAGTAGTGATATTAAGATTAGAAAATGTATCTGAATGTTGTCAGAGGAATAGTAAAATGACACCTCTTGATAAAAAGCAAAGAATATTACCAATTATTCGAATGTTGATTTCGGTACATGAAATTTGGGTAGTTAAAGTGAAATTCATTGACAATAAAATAATCTTAAGAAATAACTAGATCATATATCAAAAATGCTGAGCCAAAGGAACCACTCGAAATAACTTAAATCCTCGCAACAAGTTGCGCAACCAAATGTGTATCAAGTAACATGGACAAAGGCAAATTGACAAGCAGGTTTTCTATGAATACAGTTTCTAAATAGTAAAGTACTGTTAAACGGGAATTTCAAGACTAGCAAGCCACTGCTTTTGGATAAAAGGGAACACAGTGTTGATTTATAAAAATAATCCCATTTTTATTGATAATTTTGATTTTACGTCGGCAAAAAATCAAGTTTTACTGATTTTCCGGAGAATGCTGCTGATGAAATCAAAGGTCGTACCTTACTCGCCTAGTCTTTGTTGTGGTCTAAACACAACTCTGTTTGCTGCTTCCGATTTCCTCAACTGTTTCAGCTGATCAAGGGTGATGAACTTATTCGAATTATTTACTGGTTAAAACCAGTTCTTAAATTTTCGCTGCCTGTGTTCCATTTGGTTGTGTGGAAATTATTTGTAGAGAAAACTCTTGACCCATGACAAACTATCGTATGATGTTGAATTCCAACGCTATGGGAGAGAGTAGTGGAAATATCGATGTCGGCTTACTTTCCATCTGTGACCTTTAGAAGCGTGTTTGCATTAATGGACGTAGGACAAATTGACACTTTATCGATGTGGGTCCAATTTAAGAAATTCGCGTGCTCCAGGCCAGACGAAATTTGTAAGTTCGTGAGGTGGTCTAAAATTCTGACGACGTTTAAGATCCTAAATTAAGTTAGAAGCAACCATAGGTATAGGGCATAGGTATATTAATAACACTACGACCTCCTAAGGAAACATTCTGGTCCCTCGCAGAAGAGTCAAACGTACCCTTTGAAGGTGGCGAAAATATCACGATTGTCTCAGGCGCAAGTCTGTGCAGTGTCGCCTCAGACCCCTTGCGAGGCCAACTTAAGGTTTGAGAATTGAGCCCGTGAGTATGAAAATGTCCCCGCACAGTTATTTTTGTCAAAGCCACGTGCATTGTTCTAATGTTTTGCAATGAAATTTACCTCAATAAACAAGTGCCTAATTGGCTTTTTATTGACGCATGTCATGCACGCAAACTTAAAAGCGTAGGTATGGCAGCTTAACTTTAATGTTGACAAAAAATTCACCTAAATTAGATGAGAAGCCAAAAACGTTTCTGTACATGCTCAAACATACTGCCTTGGTTGTCCAATCTAGTGGTCACTTATTTAAGACTGAAACAGATATCACAAACTATTACCTGCTGTCATTTGGTCACAATCACTACCAGCTTTCGAAACCCCTGTCTCCATCTAACCGCATAAAACAGGCATCTTCCGGAAATAGTCATTTTAGTCAGACATATGTCGTAAAATTACTTAACTTCTGTGAGCGTAAAGTAATTTTCGCTATTTTAACTAGTTCTCTATTAAAAAAAGGGTAAAGCCGTGTTGGCAATCATCACCAGTTTATGTGATAAATTTAATAAATCAAGGATGCTGTTAATTAAATTTATTTGGTTTTGGGAAAAAATTTTAATGTAGATAAATGACAGGGAACAGCGCGGAAAATCTGAATGTCAGCGTCGAAACATTGGTGAACTCATTGTCGTGGAAGGAAAAGAGAACATCTTTAACATAAAAAGCATTTCTGAGGCTAAAATTGGCCTAACCAAAGTTAGAAAAAATTTACAACCCATGAGGAGGAGATGGAGTTAGAAGCTAACCACCAACTAAGGTCGGAATGGTCAGATCAACTGAAAGACATATAATTGGTCCATAGCTCCGTATCTACTAAGTAATTACTTAGAAACAAGTGAAACTGGTTGCTAGATATAGCAAATCAGTATGTTAAATTAATTTTGCATGCACATTTCAAGGCTTAGGATGTAAGACGTTTAATCACCCAAAGAGGCTACTGAAAGTACCTTTGCAGTCATTTTGGTCTGTGCGGTTGTTCCGACTAGGGTCGTAATTAGATTGACTCTTTTCGGGGAGATTTTAATAAAAAAAACAAATTGTGGTTATTCAGGCACAGCGATACCCTAAGCCCTCCGCTAGAGACTACTGTATGATATTTCAAATGCAGAAACACTTAGTTTTTTGTAGTCGAAAAAAGAATGGTGTGGGAACAAAGAATGTCGTTGCGTGACACTAAGTCAACATTGGGCTAGTGTTACCGTCATCACCGCTTGAGTTCATTTAAAGTACATCCAATTAGAGCCAGGTAGAAACAGTGATATAGGTTTACGAAAATCATTTTAAACAGAGGAATCAGACTTATATTCCTCTAAATCTACAACCGCAGTGAGTCGGTTTAAAATTTTGTGCACTTGACAAAACATGAAATCGTAAATCTCCTCTTAATGGAAAGTGGGGCAGGAAAGCATATGTGGCCTGTTTAATGATGACAAATGACAAAAGAAATGAACCGCCTTCGCAATGTCCAAACAGTTAGAAACTACCAATGGGTGATTGCGAATAATTTGATTGCACGGAGCTGTCTTACTACATTTTTAAGAGGAGCTACGCACAGTTGTTAAAAAGGAGGTTAAATTCTCGAAAAAAGCGATGGAAGAGTTATATGAAACGATTAAGAGCAAATGTAATTATTATGCATTAATTTTGGTTGCAAACCAGGTACAAATTTTTAGTGATCCCATATTAAAGATCCAACTGAGGCTCTCGTGAGTCACTTTAACTATTTACCTTTGATGATGACATCAACAGTTTGGGAGTCGTTATCGAGTGCACTTAGCGCAAGGCACTGATAGGTTCCTGAGTGGGAAGGAAGCGCCTTTGGTATGGTGAGGGAGGACTCAACCGCATTCCCACCGACCATTCGTTGAACTCCGCGAAGCGTATCAGGTGGAAGGTCCGAATAGACAGTAAGTACATCCGAACCACCATAATCTTGATACTCTCCAAATTTAGGCAAACCCAACCTGTTGAAAAAAACAAAACAGCATAGAATGTATAAAAAAAGGCACACTTAAGTTAATTTAAGCTTTTAATTGCATAAATTAACGGCATTTGTACATTCACTTTATATGGCTAATTTTCTTTACCAACCTGTCAACCACTTCATAACACTTTTTTTACCCCAATCAAGAATTTATTACAAAAGGACCTCAACAAAAAAAATTGGGACGGTGGCATCGGCTTGTGCCTGAATGCAAACATCATGTAAAAATAATCTCGTGACTGGTCACCACGTTGTCTGCCAAAAAGCACAAGTAACGTCGATCCTTAACCAAGCAAAGTTCATTGCTCAGTCAATCATTTCAACCACCTTGCTGTATATAAAGTAATGTGATTAACCTGAATGGTCTATGTATAGTAACCAACTAATTTTATATTTTAATTCTGGGATAATTTACTAAAGCAACATAATCATGACAGTAACAGTTTTCTTCCAACAATCATCCGACGATCTTACTCACAGACAAACACTCGAGTAAATTTTAGTTATGGGTGCACAGTTTGTCAAGAGACTACGAACCTAAAATTGGTTTGCTCACAAACGAGGTGGTTTCGTTAATTCATTCATCTTTTCTTCAAGAAGCACTAGCTGAACATTGAGGAATCAAACTTGGATCAATTTATATTGATTCTGTTCTCTGGGTAATGCTGAGCTGTTTAAGTGTACTGTGCAGCCACCAATATTTTGGATGTTAGAAACGTTTTCGAAAATGGTGGCATCCATCTCATTTGTACATCTTTCTCATCCATTAAAACATTTACAATTCAACAAATGTGAGATAGTAATGGCAAAGACAAGCACGACCCACCACCGCCATTTGATTTGTAAATTTGAAACCTCCATCGCATCTGTCACAGCTCGACATGAAAGTGATAATTCCACCCCGACGGTCGCGGTAATTTTTCCATCTCCCGTTGTCTTTTGCAGAGGATGGGTGCCAATCCACAAAGGACCTGAAATCACTCGCGTTGCCTGTCTGATTACAAGGCGTCCAGATGCCGAGGAGCTGCCAAATCGGTTTGCCACGACACACTTGTAGACCCCGGCATCGGCCAAAGTCGCCTTCTAAAGGGGCGTAGGAAGGGAAATTGAAATCGGGCACACACGAATTTCTGCAACTCCCATAAAACCTTTCACGGCCTGTAGGGATAAATTTGCATTTTCAGAAAATTGCATTTTTGCATAATTTAAGAAGCTAGGAGATTTGTGCAAAATCAGGCCGGAACGTTGAACTAGGGCATATTGAAAATGCTTTTTGCCTTGAAGTCTTGAGCTCTTGTATTGTTTTGACGCGCTTGACTGATAATTTAATCCAACAGTCAACAAGCTTGATAATGGAACCGATATACAACAAAATTACTCATTTGGATCTAAGGATACTGCTTGCCTTTGCGTTTTATGCTGTTTTCCCAAGTAAGCTGAGAAAAATTTTGCTTCCTTCTCTAATATTGCTTGTAGCAAATTCGGGGGTCTGTTTCACATGCCGCTTTCACGAGAATCGTCGTTGATACTAATAGCTATTTAAAAAATAGTGAAATGATATTTTGACGACAGATTTTTAAATTTTTTTTATTCGCATGAAACCAGTTTGGTAGGCGATTTTCAAACTACTAATAGAGCTTCACAATCACAACGTTTCAGATCAAGATAAATCATTTCAGAAAAATTCCCAGATTGTCTAAAATAATACAAGTCGCATTTCTGTTCGAGCCAGCATTTCCAAAATGCACGATTTTCAATATTAATTTGTAATATTTTTTTCAAAAGTCTGGCTCATTTTCGTCTAACATGAGTTTTTGTCTAAAGGCCGCGTGAATGATCTGATTGGCCATCAGGTGAATGCAGTGTGCATTCAACGCAAAGGCTGCATCGGTTTGGTTCGTCGTGGCAAGTGGTTGAATGCACTTCAAGTGTTTCTGACTTTTTTGCTATATTTCCAAGGCGGACTCCTCCATGTGTGTCAACTAGTAGGCTGATTAACACAAAAGTTGATTCTGCTACGGTGTCCGATTTGCGAAACATTAATTACCTGAATAAAATCAGCGTATTTAGTAGCAAACCGCAGTTCATCCAAAAACTGTCTGGCTAAATGCAACAATACTATACGCCTACTTCGTCTACTCAGGCAAATGATCTTAGCCGTCATGCCTATACTCTGGTAATCAAATTTTGTTTTTATCCAGATAACACGCTACAGTTTTAAGAGTCTTATAAACCACGCAGTTATAAACTGAAATTCAAAATGCCCAGGCAATTAACGAACATTCTGCACAAAAACCGTTCCATAACGCACGTACTGTGATTTCAAGGCTGCCATCAGTAAGTAGTTTTCTTCGCCCAAAATCGCTTCCGGTATCATCAGACACTGCTTCGCTTCCTTCCTTAGTCCAGTAAACTCTGGGAGAAGGAATGTTCACAACTTGGCAATGCAAAATCACATTTTGCCCCTCAGCCACGGTTGTTTCTTCCGAAGGACCCCGAAGTATTGCCGGTGGGGAGTTCCAGACATTGATGTAGGCATTGGTTAACTGAAAGCCATATCGGTTGCTTATGTTGCATTGAAAGACTGCGCTGTCCGTCATGTCCAAGTCACGAAAAAGAAGGTCCTAAAAAGCAGCCCAGAAGATGGTGATACAAATTAGGAGTTGGATGTACCATGTAAATGCAAATTGCTCACATAGAAATGTTACTTAGGTAAAATGTTGCAACTTACTCTATAGGGCTTTAATTTTCCTTCTAAGAGTAACGTATTTTTAAGCCTTTACGAGAAGATACTGCTTTAACATATACGTTTGACTGATAAGTATCAAATCGAGCGTGTTTTTGCTAGAAATCTTAAGAAAACAGGCCATTATCGGCAACTTAAAAGTCAATGTAAAGTAAGATTGACTCGTTGCAGTGGCAAGAACTGCCTTTAACTGCTTTGGCAGTTTGCATTCATTTTCTAACGCTATTATACTTCACAATGGTAAAATTAAATTAGTAAAGGGAACTTTAAATTTAGCTGTTCGAAGAAGTGGTATTTTAAAAGTGTATTCTGTCGCGCTCATATAAATAGACAAATTATAGTTTTATTAAACTCAAAAAAATGTCATAAGTAAGTGAATAAGGGACACTAGCAGAGTGGTACATGTGGTTGATAACCAAGCCTTTTATTAAAGATAGCTAATTTAAGAAGCTAATATAGTTATTGACAACGATTGTGATGTATTCACTTTTATTACACCTTCATTATATTGCAAATCACCTACGGATATCAATATTGCGACAAGTCATTTTCAGGCTTACGTTTTCATCCCTGTAATTTATCTTGTTGCTTCAGTGGATATTTATTAGCCGCACAATCTAATATACTACGGAGCGCGATACGAATCAAATTTCCCACTTGGCACATTGTCCAGAATCTAGAGACTTGAGACAAAACAAGTTTTATGAGTTGTGCGTCTCGTTAGATTCCACTTCGCAACCTAACTGTGGATAATTTCAAGATATAAATTCAAATTGTAGCAGTTTCACGAGATTATGCGAGAATTGCTCAAGTGTCCAGACAATTCCTTCATGTTTTATGTACTCAGTAGATTGCTCAATTTCCTTTATTAATGCGTTTAAACCAGAATTCTTTTAATTTTAGTTTGTAAAGCCTTCAATGCAGAAATTTGTTTCCAGTGTGTTGAAGTTTTAACTTACCTTAGAATCTCGCCAAAAGGTTTTATTAAATTTCGTGAAAATAAATTGATAAAACGAGATGTTAAATGTTTTTGGGGCGCAACGATGGCGAAAAAAGATGCTGCTGTTCAGTTTTTGTTCCATGTTACTGTCTAAGCATTCATCGTGATTTCCACACATTTTTTTCAAGTCTAGTATGTTAACTAGAATAACTTTTTTTTCGGTGATCTAACTTTTCACAACCGAAATTGCAGAATTGGCATTGCCTTCTGGATTTCTTTGGTTCAGTTTGCCTTCCAACACGTGCTGGTTGAATTTTGTTTTAACAACAGTCCCAATCAGATCAAAAAATTTCTCATTTGTTTCAAGTCCCGACAAATTTGCTCTCTGTCAGAGATGCTCTTTGAGCAACGCTTCTTGGCTTTACAACAATATCAGAATTTAGGTTAAAAATATCAGGTTGAAATAAATTATTTGGTGCTAGTTGACATGTTCTCTTCACTGACACCCTCATGAAGTGTACAATGCCGGTTTGTTAAATAGAGCCCAAAAAGTAGATACCTTAAAAAATATCTCGTATGCCAACCACTTCAGCCAGCGTTTGTGCATCGCCTGACCGAAATTTGACTCGAAAAATGCCTCTACTCTAACTGCACCGACGGAGTACTTCGGTATTCAGCACATCGTACCGCTTATTGTGAGGTGGAAAGCAGTGAAAGTCATGGGGAGGGTGCATTTGCACATGTTAATGACTAGTTCGCGCTTGGTACAGGAAGGGGTCTTTATTTGTTCGAAAATGTAAAAGTTGTCATGCTCCCTAGGAGATTCTCGTACTCTAGGGGAAGTTCTAAGTGCCTCTGCGGCCATATCTGCTAAAGCATTTTGCCAGATCGACACTTGCAACTTTGATATTCAACCACGAAATCCTTTACAAATGCATTCGATGAAAGTAAAAAAGTATTAACAGTTTACGGAAAGTAAACTTTAGTTGCGACAGCATATACCGGACCCAATTTGTGTCAACATTCCATAAATTGATTAGCTGGTGTTGGCCTAATGAAATCGTGATGCAATTATTACCTGTGGATGGATAAAGAGGTCTCGGTTTTATCATCCGATGTAAACGGCTAAACTGAAAACATCATGGTTCTAGGTGATAAACTTGGTGCTAGGAGAAAAATGATGAAAAAGGAATTCGTTTGACCAGATTGTGGACTCATTCATTCCTTCACCACTTTTACAACCGATACACCTTCATGTCGCTGTTTGGTCATGCTAGAATTTAGCCATATTTAAAAAAATCCCATTGTACAACTAATTGGGAAGTGTCATTTTAACTCAAATAACAAAAAATCCATCAAGTTCTAAATATTAAAGAACTACATTTATGCAAAATTTGAATTACTGAATCCATTTTAAATCCTTAGAAATTGCCAGCAATTATTCATTTAGTACGTAAAGCTACATAAACGCAATGTTTCGGGATCTACTGCAAGTAGTCGATAGGTCTTCTGACTACTTAGCAATATTGCTGGCTATTGAAAATCCCTCTGAATATTAGCCGGCTTGGCAACAAGACCGCCTCGAGCCTTTTGGCAATATTACATTGCAGTAAAGAGTCGATGAAGGCAGCCACAGCTTACGTTGCCGGATCGCCTCTTCTTTACTCCATCGAGATACCTGCTGATGGGTTGTCCGTTCATCAGCCACGAGACGTTCACTTTCGAGCCACCCGTCTCCCATGGTTCGCAGCGTAGCTCAGCTGAGCCTCCAATGGCCACGGTAGTGTCAACTGGCCTTACTTTAAACTGCGGAATAGCTGAAGGTTTGAGTTAGCAAAAATACGAAAGAAGCAGTCAACACCCCCTAGTATTTTCTTCATGTATTTAAGTAAACACCTGCAACAGAGCATATATATCCCACTCTGCTCTGTTACTTTTTAAAATAATTCTAAATTGTAAGGAAGTAACCTATCCTGTCTAACATTTCATTAAGATTGATGTAACACTATAAAGCATATAAGCACCAAGTATGAAGATCTGATTTTCGTAATTTTCAAATAAGCAAAATGACCACATGCATTTGATTTATGAAAGGCTGAGCAAATGTTAAAAGGTTCATGTCAGCAAAATACTGACCACCTTATTTAATAACATCTGCATGAAAAATGTAGTCACACGTTGGCTTCCGATGGAGTTTCTGTCCCCACTTAGAGCTACATCTTTGGTAGTAATCTTTTCCTCCGGTTCAACTCTTTTGACTTGCCATAAGACAAATTTGGTCTCTGAAAATGCTTCTAGAACTCGGTAACTGTGTTTGAGGTTTATGAGGAGTTTGCGTGCCGTTTTAAGTCTAACAGCACTTGCTAGTTCCATTAAATCTTTTCCAGTCCCTCTCAGTAATATTGAAATTCTCTAAATTTGTATCAACCAACAGGTAAATAACGACCATTTTACCAAAGTTAGCGTGCAAATAAATGGCTTACAGAAGAGCAATTATTTAAATTTGCCTTTTAAAAGAGTCTAACCCATGATATCTTTGGTCATTTTAAGCTTGGATCACAATTAATCCTGTTCAAACGGAAATGCGTCTAAAAATGTTAACGCATTTATATTACGATTAGCTAAGCCAAAGGCCATGTATCATTTGCGTAGAGTTTATTTGCATTTGGAATTAATTAATGTCCTAAATTTACAACACAAAATTGCATTGCCTCGTGAATTGATGCCCAAACAGGGAATGACATGAGCCTGATCAATGTTATAAAACTCAAGTAGATTGGTGTGATAGTGTAGCAAAAGTTATCGTCTAAGGTTTTTAGTACCTTCAACTTTCACAACACCAATTACAGTAAAATCACATTACTTACAGTCGACGTTTAATTTGAATGAGGCAGATACGATCATTGAGTTAACTCCCGGTTTGTTAACTGTCTTGCAAGAATAGAGTCCAGCGTGCTCAAAAGTAACTCGAGGTATGATTAGGAGTGTTCCTTCGTTTTTCAACTCGACTCGTAAATCATTTGGAAACTAAATGGGAAGGAAATCGGTTAGAGTTGATAATGAAATATCCGGGTTGACACAATTAGCTTATGACCACAAAGGCTGAAACAAAGGAAAAATAGCGTGACGATCAAGTTGATGTCCTTTGCAAATATTGAACTTTCATGAACCGAATGCATTTATCTAACAAAATTTAACTCACTCAAAGATATACACCGACAGCCGTGGAAAAAGGTTTTTAAATGCTGCCAGGGCCGTTTTGAACTTCATTAAATGGAACATTGACACTATGTCAGTAGAGCATTTGACTCAAACGGTAAATGCCAGGTTGAAATAAATCTTGGAATAAATGCAGTATTATGCGTAGATATGAAAAACTCTTTTTGATAAGGACTGGCAAAACACACGGGGCCTTCGTTAATTAAGGTTTTTGCCAAAGTAATTGCGCTAAACGATAAAATCTGTGAAGTTATTGCTGAGGAAGCCAGCATTTTGAAGGCAATTTGTGTCTGAACACTGAGATTATAGGCTGATCTATTAAATCATTTCTCTTCATACGAATAAACTAGTGACAATAGTCCAAAAGTGGCACTGCCCTGCACTCTCACAAGACTGATGTCAACAGCAATCACTGTAGGGGACCAAGCTCCCTCAAGCATAAATGTAGCATGAATTTTTGCATTGGTCGCTTGTCTCTGGTCCTTAAACTGAAACGGCAGGTTCTGTTTCGTGCTGAGGTGATAATTTTATTCTCGCAAAATCTTTCATGTGCTCACTCTTTGCGCTCGTGTTTCTGATGCTGGCATTCGTAACAGGTATTTCTGTCACAACTATTACAACCTAGTTGTTTCCAAAAGGATTATAGGTGTGTATGTGCTAAAGGATCAATTAACTCCACAGATCACTGTAGTCTGCATGGGCTAAATTAACACAGTATGTCACAATTCATTCTGTGCCAAGCGCCCGCTAGATGCAGAAATTTGTAAATGCAACAAGAAAGTAGATCCCAAATTGGAAGATTTTCTTACTAGTAAAATAGGATTCTGAAGCTATAAACGGTTACATAATGCTTATCAAATTTAAACAATGGGTCTGCAAACAATAAAATCAATGTTCGTTTAAGATAAAATCTGACGTGTCCAGCAGGATCTCTGAAGTTAATTTGCGCACAAATCTAACTAAGCTTGGTTTTTTTATGAAGTGATGCGGTCGATTTTAGAATTTTCTATGTTTTAGATAAGGAAACAATTTTGAAGTTCCTTTGAGCATTAAAAAACCAAAATTTGACTTGAAGCGCACTTGAAAAGTCCCAGAAGTGTGGGAACTTTCTAGAATCTAAGTTATTGGACAAGAAGACACTCCCATCACGAAGAAAATGCTTTAATGGAATTTGCTTTCGTTATGTTGATTATATCTATTGCTAAATTCAATGCTTTATTTGTCCACCTAAAAAAATAATTATTTTGAAAAAAATCATGAAACTTGTTTTAATGTGTCCACTACATGAATGACTCAAATTGATTCTCACTACTTCTTTGTAATTCGTGCTCTTTTCTCCCTGACCCAACTCGAGAGCAGATTCAAAGTTGGCAGATTTCCAGTACCACCGGAGCTCAGTTCCAGGGAAGGAGGAAATGAGGCATCGGAATTCAGCTGTCTCGTTCAGAAGTCGTGTCTGTGTGGGTGGTGAGCTAGCCATTAGAATGGGGCCAGCTGCCTTCTGGAAACGCGTGCTTAGCCTTACGTGGAGGACGTTTTCACAGCCAGTTCTCATTGTCCGAAGGAGTGAGTTACTCGCAGAACAGAATAGCGTCAGAGTGGTTGAGTTGGCGATGCCGCTTGCTGCGACCAGAAGATTACCTGGGAATCATTATTACATGAATTTACTCATGTTTTGGACTATTGTTGCTGTAACAGACCATCGTCTTCCGATAATATTGAATGAAATTGTGACTTTACTCTCGTCTTTATTTACAATTACATTAAATACGTGGCCATACAAACCGACTCAGAACCTGAAGGCTCGGGAGCATTTCCCGCTGGTCCTTTCACAGTAAAACTTTAGTCATGAAATGAATAAGACAGGACCCGAAAACAAGCAAAGGTAACCGAAGTCTAACTGATAGAGCACATGATTTGTTACCCGCACTACCTAAAAATCCAGCTGGTTAACAGACCGCAACACTCTAGAACATAGAAAAGACAGGCAATAGCATGTACAACAATTTTCTTGAAATCAACTGCAATTAGTTACTTTTGGTAGCATAAAGTTAGACGACTAACCACGTTTATTACAAGAAACAAACTTGACATGCACCAGGTAGCGAAGCTTCTATACAATGCTATTTTTCGTAGACACTAGACAAAAAAAGGATTTTGAAACAACCACATGACGTGTTTTAAACAGCTATTTATTTGGCACCAACTACCGCTTTTCCTTTGTAGCGATATGTATAAGTATAAATGCAAAATGCACTGTACGACTAACATTCAAGGAATACAGTATCAACTAATCGCGTTAAATAGAAATTGAGTCAAAGGAAACAGAATAAGTTCGCTTATAGTTAATGTGGAACATCCCACGAAAAAGTGCAAATTGTGAAAATAACGTGGCAATCTGCTGAAGATATAAAACGCCAATTTTTAACACACAGTATAGTTCAAAACAGGCATTTTGCACTTATGTGAAATACTGCGATATGATCTTAAATCTCATCTATCCTCGAACGTTCTTTGCTTTGGTTAAACCTTGTAAATTGGGAAAAGGGTTGCAATTTTATGTTACTTTATGGAGGCTGGTGCAAAAGCTCTAAAATATGTGTAATAATTTTCCGCACATACAAAAACTTTCATGGTTTTCAAACTATTTCTGTTTTCTGTAATTCATGTCATAGCGAACTAAAAAAATTTCACTTCGAGGGTACCCAATGCTCCAAACTTGGATATCTTTGGAAGTAAGTACTGCGTTTTATGTAGATGCTGAACATCAGTACCCCGTAGATGTAATACCAACTGATGAATGTAATCTGATAAACTGTAACAAAGAAAACTAAATATTTATATGTGTCCCTAGCTATGAGACACAGTTGACCATCACGCTCATTTTGCTTATAAGCGTTTTTTAGTATCCGCATCATGGGTCATTAACTTAGATTGACTAACATTAGTAAATGATATCACACCGATATGCATAAACCACGCTACATGCTCAAGAATAAAATCTGCGTGTCTCTTTGCCTTTTGAACGCAAAATCGTATAAATTTAGTTTAACTGCAGTCGGAAGAGTTAAGGATTTACTTGGAATCCTTAAGAAATGTGACCACCATTTTATCTGCTTTTATTTTGCAAAAGTCATCAAAGGACAGTAAAAGTTTTTTTTAATAATCTTATAAGGTAGAAACATAAGGCGAAACCCTGTTCGCTATAAATTATCGCGCATTGCCCACATGCTTTCACATTAAATTGATCTTAGCGGTGCTCATCTATTGTGGTATCAGGACTAAAATTAAGAATAATGATAATGGTAATAATCAAGTGGAAGTTTCTTTTTGTGCTTTTATCTTGCATGTGCAACTCAAAGGCATCAAACCTACAACGTCACAAGTGAGTGAATACTAAACAAAAATGCAAACCACAATGTTAATGAGTTTTGACATGAGGATTCGCGGTATATTTTGCAACTTTTGTATTTACAAACCATTGCATTTTTGCTTAGAAAATCGTGCTAATGAATATTCTTAAATTTTTTGATTGCTTTTAGCTTCACCTCTTAGGAAATTCCAGGACTTTCGCCCAAAAATGTTGACCTGTGAATCTTTAAGGTTTAGCGGTCAGAGTTGTGTGATTAACGTACAAAAATTTCCTGCCTCATTTTCAGTTGATGACTTATTTGCTTCGAATTTACCACCATTGGTAACTTAAAGAACATGACAGTTTTGACCAATCATTTTCTCCTAAATCAAATTCCGAATCTTGTCCTATTGCCATCAATTTCAAAATCGAAGAATTTACTACGTTTAATGTGCTCTCAAAAGACTAAATTTAATAAAAGAACATATTTATTAACAACCTGCGTATTTAAAATACTGTTCAAGGCGGCTTCAATTATCTCGCAACCTTTGCTTAAATTTGAAGAATTTAACGTGTACCATTTATCTTGTCCATTGTGCATTTTACAAGTTGAATCTCTTTATGTTCATTACTCCATGCGTGAAGTTGCGCAATGCTACTTTAGTTTGTTAGAATCAAATATATCCCCAAGTTTTAGCGCTGAGCGAAGCCACTAACTGACTTTGCGGTTTGCAACAAAAAGCAGATGCTATTTAAATTCCTCTGAATGCGACTTTTTTTTTTATCAAAAAGCCCTCCACTATCCAACCAGCAGAATTTTTTACATACCGTCCAAATTTTTTACTCGTAACATTAGCACCACCAGGTTTTCAAGACTTTTGATTACCATTTGCGCTCTTACACGCTCACAGACATTTTATGTGTTTTAGAAACTATCAAAGCTCCGCTAGCTGCAAATATTTTCTGTCAGGTTTAATAAATAAAGTTAAATAAGGTAATTTTTAATTCCTACCATCATCATCCACGGCAAGTGTGCGATTTTCGTGAATAAACTCCATTTGACCATCCGTGTGACGCTGCATCCATCGAACGGTGGCTGGAGGAATGCTTTCGGGAACAGAGCAGTTTATTCTCAGATGTGATTGTTCCCTTAAAATCAACGTCTGAGTTTCACAAGCCTTTGGTTCGTCAATTTCTTTTTAAAAAAGGAGGAAATGGAGTAAGATTGCCAGAAAAATAGCTATGGACCTATTATAACCGCATAGTACTGCTATGCATGAAACTCATTGTAATTCATTTTGGCTATACTGTATTTATTGCTTAATTACTTTGTTGAAATGCACACAAGCAAATCTGAGTGACTTCCTAAAAATTGACTGAAATCTTAAATTAACGCTGTTGACAGACACTGCCCTATCAGAGGATATGCTCTTATAGGCCTTGGGGACCTGTTTATCAAACATCAAATTCGCGAAAGTCAAATACAGCACGTTCAAGTGGTTAGTTTTTTTCTATTTTCAGCCGCAGACTTTGGTTACTGATGTTTACCCCGACATTTAGCTCTTAGTAGGTGTCTTTGAGTACCTATCACGTAACTGCAACTTTGTTTTGAGATGCTAAATTAAGATCTGGGCAGAATTTCAAATTTTGTTGACGTCATTAAGGAGGGTGTCTGAGTGTCTCCCATTTATCTCGACAGTAGGCAAATCTTCAGCCGACCCACAGTGACAGTATCACAAATCATTGACACTTAAATCACCAAATTATAAATGATTGAAATTATATTTTGCTTTGTGACTTATTTGAATTAACCAATGACTGTTCAGATTGCTTGAACGCATTTTTACACGGGTTACGGGAGATGGTTAAGTTTTTGATGCCGTATGCACTGTACTCAACTCACGAGCAAATAAAACTTTTGAAGGAGAAGATATCGCCCGGCCAGCAGCATTGGCGGCCACACAGTAGAGCCAACCTGGTCGCAGTCTACCAGTGAAATAAGAGGTTGTCTGATGCCAAGAGTGTGGGTGCCCCGATTCCGCTATTCGGGCTTTCCCTTCTGTCAACCACTGTGAGTTTTCAGGTCGAGTGGCACCTGCCATACTTGAAAGGTGGAGAGCGATATGCTCGTCGGTTATGTACCATTCAATCCTAGATTATTTCGAAGAAAAAAATTGGGATGTACCTAACTTTATGTGTAATACGTGTTATCTGTTATAGTAATGTTCGACGCACATTCGAATAAGATGATGAATAACATTTGACAACTCACATTCGGAAAGATTAAATTAAATTGCGATATTTTAATGTCAAAAGGATTCATAGAATGTTGAGTATGGGCTTGTGCTATAATCATTTGGTCAAATATTATTTTGAGCTAACAAACTAACTGACTTGAGTGAAGATTTGACATTAAAACTGAATGACTCCCTTTTTTGTAAAAATACTCAAACTAATTTCTATAGATTTACATTTTATACCGAATTGTTTATAACTGAAAAAATATGCTGAACTTTTAAAATCCACTTACAACGATGTTGAAATGCTTACCCTATTTCGCTAGGTTGAAAATATTTTTCATCAACCAAAATACTACAGAGTTTACTTACTTTTTTCAATTGAAAATAAATATCTTTTTGGCAAATTTCAAAAAAAAAACGTGTGACTAACCAATTATAAAGTGCAATTTATGTGAGTAAACACATTAAAAGACTTATACTGAGCATCTAGATAGTGGTATGGTAGGTAAGGTTTGGCACCGAATAAATTAATGGTTAAAAACAACTGCCATAATCATTTGCTTGCATGGCTAGCATCTCTTTGTAATTTAAGTTGCAAGGTAGCGCTTCCTAGTTAAATTATTGCATGTGGTCAGGAATTACCTGGCACTAATTACTCATCTGCCAAACCATTGAATTCGCCGCATATTAAGCGACCCGCTTGATGCGCATATGGGCAAACCCAACGAAAATTCATTTGTTCTCTAAGTCTTATAAACCACACAAGGGTCCCTTTTCAAAAACGAGGCTAAAAAATGCTACCTATAATGAAACCATCTCAAATAAGTTTGTCGACGAATAGTTCATGATTTTGTATACAATGTTACCATCGTTGAGATGCTGTATAATTTTTTCCCTGCTTTGAAAAATGGTTCAGCCACCTTTAAGCCTTTCAGTTTGTTAATCAAATGATCCGGTTTTAGAGAAGGCATTTCGGTTTAACTATTTATCACGAAAATAACTAATAAAGTGGTTTGGGTTTAACGAAGACTGTCTAGATCAACTATTGAGATGCCAAAGATGCGTTCACTTTGCTAGTGAGGCGATGTGCGATGACAGCAAAGCCAAAAACAATTAATGGCACTGCCAAGACGTAAAGGATTCAAAAATAAAAATTCTGTCAATTTAATTACGCACGACCAATTTAACAAGTTGAGTGATTATTAAGTATGGTGGACACAGCACAGCTAGATTCGGATGCTGCCCATTTAACTGTCTTACGTAATTAGAGAGCTTCAATAAAACCTTCACATGCCTCAAGATTATAGCAATCCGCCATCATTACACACCCCGTAAATAGGGGTTACACTCGATTGTGGAATCGTTTTCGATAATATTGATGAATTAAAAATAACGTAGTCCGTACAACCCTCTGTTAATTGAGTAGTACTATTCACAAGAGATGATCATCTAGAAGTCAACTCAGTAGCTCAGGAAGAACAAAAGTAGCTAAAAAACTGACAGATTAGTGCAAAAATTAATCTTCACTTGTGATTATGGAGGCTTAAATCTATCTTAAGCACTAAGTTGGTTTTGTGTGTAAGAGCGGGCCAAATTTTAAAGGTAGACTGTGATGTAGCACAGAGTGAGTGTGTACGAACATAAAGTCTTGAAAAAACCTTTTTTTGTGGAAAACGCAGTCCAGAGAGTGCACTAAATCAGTAATAATCGAAAATGAATGTAGCGTTTCAGCATATTTTAAAATTTAAAAAAATCCGCTAACATTAAGGAACTGTAATTACCGTATTTGTGGAAATGGCTAAAAAAGACATCGAAAGCACTTTTTGACGATTATCACGCAATTTTTTTCGAAAACCATTTGAATACTTAAAAAATATTTGAAACGGACATTTCTGCAACTAATGTACCAGTTTTTAATTGAGCTATTGAATTGCACCTCCCAGTGAAAGTTACGACCTTGCATACATTTACGCGCTCATTCAGGAGTTAACATGATGTTACGTTACCGAATTTAGAATAAATAAACAGTCATACTTTGTTAACCAAAATGTCTGATTTGGACAATCAGTACCGGATAAACAAATCTTTTTTGTCCAGTGAATGAGTTCAGAGAATCCCTATTGACATTTATACTAAACGATAAATAACAGTGAATGCTGAACACTTCTTAGCCTACAAACCTACACGAAAAAATGTACTAGGCTGCTAGTCGGCAGTGTAAAACCTTTAAGTAAAACGCTCGGTTAAAATCGTTTTAGCGTCTAGCCCAGGAAAGTAGTCGGCGGTTTGCATGCAAGTAAAAGTTTTGTCGAAAAAAATTTCTTCAAAAACTGAAAGGGAACATTTGAGGAAATACAAAGTAATCCCGGGGTGGTTAAAAGCCTGTGTAATTGGCTCTGAATTTTTCAAGACAATCAATTGCACTCGTAATGTCTTAGCCTCAGCAATTAATCGCAGGACTTGATGTAGTGCTGAAGACGACTAAGTACAGGCATTAGGTGAAAGTTTGACTTGTCTTTTGCATCATGCAAAGCAGTAAAAGTTAGTTATTAAAACAGTACTGAAAGAAAGTTTATCTAAAACTTGCATTGAAGTTTATTTAAATGCATGTATAATAAAAAATCACGCTGCTGAAAGTACTTAAAAGTCAAACGACAACAGGCTGACTGATTTCGCGTACACGTGCTCATCTCAGCTTTGAGGTTATTTTGAGACTTGGGAGTTTATAAATCGTTAAAATTGGGGAAGTAACTATTTCAAATGATTGATATGAATGGTAGTCGCTCGTGAGTTCCTTTGTTCAGAACAGGTTGTTCCAATAAAACCGTGCTGACAGTTTGGTTTCCAAGAAAGGGTGGCCTTTTGACGCATCGTGCTCGCTGCCATATTAAAGTCTCTTTACACGTTAAATTCGCTTTGGTATGAGAGTGATTCGATGAAATAAATCATATGCCTGCTCAAAGGACGCTTTTTGGAAGCAAGCGGGGGCTTCTAGATGTTCAGTGATGAGCTTAAGCTCATCTATAGATAAAGGCAACCGTTAGTAAGTAGTAAATTTTTGTGAAACCAGGAGGACATTCTTAGCCCAAATATGAAGTATGGTATAACCTTGCAATAAAGCAAATCAAAACAAACACCGTGTTAAATCTATAAACAGGTTCAAAAACAGATTAAGCATGAGCTAATTTTGCTCGGAATATCAAATAAACTAATATTTGATGGGCTGTGTAGCATTTAATTAGGCGTTTATAGTATCATTTAGAATTGGTGGATTCTTTAAGCATTGGTATAACCGCATACTTGTGAATGTCGAAAGCATACATCGCTTCTCTGATTCGATGCTTCATATATTTTCCCAACACTCATTAAGCGTGGCATAAACACGGTAATTAAACTAATGACACTCAGCAGGAAAGATTATTTGACTTTGACCTCGGATCTTGCCTAGTTTGATGTGGTGCATTTGCATCCTGCCTTGTGGGCTCTTAGCGATAGGAAGGGTGATAGCTGTATAATTGTCACGGTACTTTCTCTTGTGTGAACTCCAAAGATTGGGTACATAAAAATACTCAAGATTGTTTTTGGTTGCTTTTTCTGTTCCGATTTGTCTGCAACTGTGTGTAATTCTCTTCTTCTTTGTATACAATATTTTTTTAAAGAAATTGGTTATCATCAGTCATGAAAAAACCAACAACAATAGATCAATGTGAACGGCACAAACGATTCATCTTAAAAAGATGCTTGTGGCGTTGTCTCATTTTCCCTTGTTTCTGATTTTGCATATAACAAAACACATGTTTGTATTCAAAATATATTCCAGGTAAGTGATACAGATGCTGCTAACTGGAAGTTTACGCAAGAGATTTAGTTGAGAGAAAGTGGTGGTATAGTGAATTAAACCTTGTAAATTTGCGCGTTAACGTTAATGACGTCCAAAAACGCAAATTCATAATAAATCATTAGCGTTTAATGTTACAAAACGCTTCAGGCTTACGCCTAAAAATGACCAGCCTCATTAATTGTCGCGGTTGCATGTTCGGAGTTTACACATGGTCAACATTTCATGTAGGCGCTTGAATTTTGCTAGCGTTGGCCACCAGAGCTTGATGAAATTGTAGACAAAGCCCAGTCAAAAATATTAAAGTTCAATATGCTGAAAGGTGCACATTTAAAACAAATCAAAGCTCTGCCAAGTTAGAGGAGCATCACACCAAAATCGGACTTCATTGGACCAAATAGATTTTAGCAAAAACGGGAAAAGGAATGTTTAGTTGTAATAACACTCTGAATGCTGGAATAAGCAATAGTTTTAAGAATGTTGGGTGACTAAATTGGGAAGCATTGATTCGAAGGCATCATTTTTAATCGAAATTCCGGTCTCTACATCAGGGATACCATTCGGTAACGTACAGGCATTAATTTCTGGTGAAATAATTGTGTAAACATTATGTATGCAAGCAAATAGACTGAAAAAGCTCTGCTATTAAATTCGACCGTTGATTTCATCGACTAAAGAATAATTTGGGCAGAAGCCCACACTCCATGCTGCTAACTGAATCTGAAGCCTATTATTACATTTTATAGCCAAATTACTGGAAACGATGTTGCCAATTGTAATAACTAATGCCAAATCTCAGTTTCGTAGAGCTCTCTTTTCCATGGCTCATCAACCAAAAAATGCATAAAATGAGGTAGGGAATATAAAATACAGTGGGCACAATCTCAGAGGTAAATGACTTCAGTCGATCAATAAATAAATTAATTACTAGCCTATCAGCTCGCCTTCTATCTTAGTGCAAATCAATAAGCGTCACAATTGCTTCCTCTGAAAATCATAAAATATATTTAAAATAAAATTCAAG